TTTCTCTGATTGGCTTAATTCACTTAGCATAATACATCCTAGCTCCATCCGTATCCTTGCAAGTGGCAAGATTTCATTCTTTTTGAAGGCTGAGTAATATTCCATTACACACACACACACACACACACACCCCACATCTCTATCCATTCATCAGCTGATGGACATTTGGGCTCTCTCCATAGTTTGGCTATTGTTGATAATGGGTGCTATAAAGTTTGGGGTGCATGTACCCCCTTCAAATCTGTATTTTTATATCCTTTGGGTAAATACCTAATAGTGCAACTGCTGGATTGTAGGGTAGTTCTATTTTTAGTTTCTTGAGGAACCTCCATACTGTTCTCCAGAGCAGCTACACCAATTTGCATTCCCACCAACAGTGATGTTTTCTCCTAATGTGTAGGGATATAGCTATATTGAAAGAGGAATTGGCATCTGTATTTATTTTACCACAACTTCCAGGTTAATTCACCCTGTTGAAATTTGCCAGCTTTGAGGTAGAGTCAAGTGTAAGAAGATGAACTTGGGGAGCATGCATGCTAGTAAAGTCATTTCTAGTTGGTAGGTGATTGGTTAAGGCCACATTGAAACCTGAAGGTATCAGGGCATTAGGAGGTGTTCTGTGGAAATGGAAAGAGAGGATCGAGATAATTCTAATCAACCAGGTTTCTGCTTACTATTTCCTTTTAAGAAAACTTTTTTTAAAATAGAAAACTTTATTAAAATCTTGGAAAACTTGCATTATACTGGCACACGTTGTAAATGCTGTTTTAAACACAGACTGCAACATTCCAGAGAGGAATGGTGGTGATAAAGCCCACCTAGCACACTAGACCTTATCAGCACTCAAGTTCCCAACCTGACCACCTCAAGGGTGCTGTCGAAGAGGCAGAGGGCCACTGACTGTAACAGAAAATTTCCTTTAAGAAAACTTTTAAGTAGTAGAAATCAGTGCTTTAACCACATTAACAAGTGATAAATAGACAGTGTACCCACTTCTTGGTTCATTGAAAAGAAAACCTTTTTGAGTGCCTACTCTGTGCACCCACTGCTGTTCTAGGAGAAAAGGGACGAAATGGAGTGAGTGAGATATAAAAATCTTACCTGAAAATCCACTTCCATTTTCTTTCAATTGATAAACAGTGGTCGGGGCGCCTGGGTGGCTCAGTTGGTTAAGTGTCCCACTTTGGCTCAGGTCATGATCTCACTGCTCGTGAGTTCAAGCCCCACATCAGGCTCTATGCTGACAGCTCGGAGCCTAGAGCCTGCTTCAGATTCTGTCTCCCTCTTTCTGTCCCTCCCCTACTCATACTCTGTCTCTCTCTCAAAAGTAAATAAAATATTTTAATTAAAAAGAAAAAACAGTGGTGATGGTGAACAAACTTTTGTCACCATGTCAAAAGTCTTTGTCAAAAAGACGTATGGTCTTTTTGAATGTATACCTGTTTCAGTGTGTTGTGCCTTCATTTAACCTAAACATAACCCCATTTTGGATGCTGATACCCGTCCCTCCCCAGACCCCTGTCCTGCCACCATAGCACCTGGTCGTAGGTGTGCTGGTAGCATGCATCCTAGTTCTTGCCTGTTCCAGGACCATTTGTATTTTCTTTTTAACTCTAGAGGTGGTTTTTTTATTCTAGTTTTTAATCTAATAACTCTGATCTCTTGGAGCCAGATGGTATTAGCCATGGAAATGTCCTTTTAAAAGTGAGTACATAGTGGGAGGGTGAGCTAAGGGATTAGGACTTCCTCTCAATTTGACTAATCAGTTAGAGCTACTCAAGAGTAGGCTGGTTTACCTTCTGTACAAACAAAATTGCCTTTTCCTAAGCCCCTCTGCCAAAGGGAACAGATGATCTGCTCCAGTAGATCGGTTGATAGACTTGCCTTTTATGTTAAGCTGTGTTTTTCTCCCCAGTCAAGAGAGTTTGTTAACTGGGGAAAAAGGAAGCACATCATCTAGACATTTTTCAGTTCTTTACTCTCTCTCATATTAGTATCAGTGCAGGAATGGCAAATTTGATTTGAAAAAATTTTAATGTCAAACAACTAGTTTTCTTAAAATTATTTTAGTTTGTATATAAATACAGTAAGGCCTTTTATTTACGTATTTCTTTGTGTCCTTAGGTTTTAGATAGTCTGTTATTAAAAGACATAGAGCTTGATGGACCTTCTTGTTTTTAAAAAATTAAAAAAAAATTTTTTTTTTTTTAACGTTTATTTATTTTTGAGACAGAGAAAGACAGAGCATGAACAGGGGAGGGGCAGAGAGAGAGGGAGACACAGAATCGGAAACAGGCTCCAGGCTCTGAGCTGTCAGCACAGAGCCCGACGCGGGGCTCGAACTCACGGACCGTGAGATCATGACCTGAGCCGAAGTCGGACACTTAACCGACCAAGCCACCCAGGCGCCCCTAAAAAATTTTTTTTAAACTTTATTTATTTTGAGAGAGAAAGCAAGCAGGGGTAGGGCAGAGAGAGAGAGAGAGAGAGAGAGAGAGAATCCAAAGCAGGCTCCATGCTGTCAGCTCAGAGCCCGATGCGGGGCTTCAATTTATGAACTGTGAGATCACGACCTAAGCTGAAACCAAGAGTTGGACGCTTAAGCGACTGAGCCACCCAGGCCTCCCTGGACCTTCTTGTGTGATTCTATACTCTTCTATATTCTTTCTATATTCTACTTTGCATTTTACATTTGTGCTGTTTTTTTTTTTTTTTTTAAGTTTCCCCTTTTGCCTCCTTTGCCTTGTTTTGGATTGACTTGTTTTGTTGTTTGTTTTATTTTTACCTCTGCTATGTTGGAAGTTATGTACTGTCAGTATTCCTATCGTGATTACCCCAGAAAATTTAACATGTAGATTTGACTCAGTGAAGTTTAAAATTAATCAGCAGTTTAACTCTGCTCCTGAATAAAACATTTAGAGTAATCTAATTATGTTCAAGTCTTCTGGATTTACATGTGTGTTGTTTATACTTTGGCTCTGTCTTATTTGTATTAAGTCTAACAGGTTATACATTATTATTGTAGTTGCATACAGCCAATACGTGCTCAGGCTTACTCATGTTCCTTCTTGTGTTTTGGGTCTTCCTTCTGGGATTATTTTCCTTCTTTCTCAAATATCCTTTGGAAATTGTTTTATTGCTGGTCTAGGGTACTAATCTGTCCCAGTTTTTATGTTTTCAAAAAATGTCTTTTATACCCTCTAAATCAACATGTATTGTGTTAAAAATATTCTGTTAATTTTGGGCTTCCATCATTGCTGTTTAGAAGTCAGCTGTTACTCGGATTGTTCTTTTGTAGGTAATCTCTCAGGTCTAGACTGTTCTCAAGTCTTTATGTATTTTTTTCTGCCTTGAAATGACCATCTATTTAAAAGTGTTTTTTCCCCATCTCCCCCCCCCCCCCCCATTTACTCTGCTTTTGATGTATTGGGCTTCCTGAACCTGAAAAATCTTTAATTCTGGAAGAGTCATTATCTCTTTGAGTACTGCATCTCTCCTGTACCCTTTCAGCATCTTGTTCAGGAAATCTAACCAGATACATTGTAAATAAGACTTCCTTGGTCTTAACTTTTCTTTCAGGATGTCTCACTTTTTAAATGCTTATTACTGTGTTCTGGATAATTTCTTCACATCTGTCTTCCAATTAATTACTCTTTTCAGGTGTGTACAGTATGTGGCTCACTCCACTGTTTATCTCAATTATATATTTTTATTTCTAAAATTTTTGTTTGCCTTTTTTCAGATTTCCTTGGTCATTTTTGATGTTTCCTTGTCCTTTCATTACATTTCCAATTTCCGCTTTTAATTTCTTATGATAAACATACATGTTATATCCACTTCTTTGAGTCTGTGATTGATATTCCCAGCATTTATAGTCTTTGGTCCTGCAGTTTCCTGTTTTAACTCTCACTCATGGTGACCCGCTTTGTGTGTGTGCGTTCAAATTGTCAACTTCTGCTCCTCAGATACTCATCTGGGGGGATTCTCTGAAACCTGTGTTTAGTATGTTCCTTGGAGAGAATTTGCATTTGCCTCTGTGTCCCAGGGTGGTGCTCCCTTGCCTAACCACTTTTAGCAGGTTTTGAGGAGATGTGGTACTATCTGTAATAAGAATTTTAGTCTCAAACCTGTGTGAGTACAGGTCTGTTGGTAGGAATTCTCCAGGGAGATAATTTTAGTTATTTCCGCTCTACTCAGAGCCAAGGAACATGCCCCTGCCATCTCCATCTGCCCGATGGAGTTTTTCCCCTACTACATCCACTTCCATCTAATCTCCCCCCTGTTTGGGTCCTACAGCTTATCTCTCTTCCCAGCCTTCTGTTGGAATGCCCGCTTCGATGCTGGTTTATCTCTCTGGCTTTGAGCTTTCTTGGCATTTCTAGCCTTTAAGGATTTCTCCTCAAAGGCAGCCTGCATTTAATGGATTTATTATTAGTATTTTTAAACTGATAACGACTATTTTCAGGCTTTTCTGGACATTTATTTTGGAATACTGTCAGAAAGGAAGCCCCCATCTATTTATGCAGGCATTTTCATCTTTTACACTCAGCAGTACCCATGGAGAAAAGGCACTCTCTGACAAGGCCAGGGATTCCTTTAGACATAAGATTTGCCTAAGAGGTCATCTTTGATAGGAGGAGGGGAGAGTGACTTAAAAAAAAAGAAGTAAGTATCTGTTTAAAACTCTAGATTTCTTTTTAAGGGATTTTATAATGACTGCTTTGGAGTAGTGGTAATAAAAAAGCTCAACACTTAATATTTCAATTTTTTAGGGTCTATCTCTTACTATGTATTTCATTACTTTTCATTTGTTAAGACTACCATTTGATTGAAGGAGTGTTTGAAGATAGGTAACATAATGTTCCTAAAAAATACCAACTCCTTTTAGTGTGTAGAATGTGTAAGCTGGACTTTATATAAAGACATCTTGAATTACAGCTTTATTTCTAGCATTGAAATGTTTGTGGTTTAAACAAATTGGTTTTGCTGTTTGAAAACAGGCCCCAGGCATGGAAGAACTGATATGGGAACAGTACACTGTGACCCTACAAAAGGTGAGTGCTGCACAGTTCATATGTGCTACAGTCATATTCTCGAGCTCACGGGTCATGGATCCTATTCACTTTCGGCCACAGTGTTTCCCCCCTTAAGGTGGATGATGCATTGTAGCTGGCAGTAATTACTGCATTATCAAAGATTTGCACGCTATTATATTTTTTGGTTAAGGCCCGTGTAATCGAAAATTATAGAGGTTATTTAGTGTATTCACCTATCGCCAGACAGAACAGGTTATGAAGAAAGAGAAAAGGAGGGAAGAAATGGAAATAACCTCTACTATTTAAGGATGTTGAGGTAGCTTCTACAACTTCTATCATTTTTATTATGACGTATTAAGTTCAAACTAAATTTTGAAATATTGGTTTGACAGAAGACATGGGTTATATTTCTTATCCCACTCATGATTAAAGGAGTTTTTTTTTTTAAGTTTATTTATTTTGAGAGAGACTGAGACAGCATGAGAGGGGGAAGGGCAGAGAGAGGGGCAGAGAGAGAATCCCAAGCAGGCTCCACGCTGCCAGTACAGAGCCCGATACAGAGCTGGAACCCACGAAGCTGCGAGACCATGACCTGAGCCGAAACCCAGAGCTGGACGATTAACCCACTGAGTCACCCAGGTGCCCCTGTCCAACTCATTATTATATCAGGAGGCGCCGAGTTAATCAGATTTTTAAAAATCCTGCCCTCCTTCCCCATGGGACTGAAAGCCAACGTAAACCAGATAGAAAGGTATTTCACTTAATTTTTACGGCTTAATTTTTACGGTTGTTTCATGGGATTACTCCTCTTGATTAAATGAGGTAATGCAGATGGCCTCTAGTACATGGAGTCCAGCACATAATGATTGCTTCATAAGTGTTAGTTCTAGTCCCTTTTACTCTCCTGACAGCAGATTCGAGGTGGGCATGATAGGTGTTAGCCCCACTTGAAACCAGCACAGCCACCAACAGTCTGTAAGTGATTTGTGTGCGGCTGGGCTGACCTGAGAAGCATTTGTGGTCCTGGGGTCTTATTCCATCAGCTGCCCTGGTCAGCATCTCTGTGACTTTTGTGGGCTCTGCTGGTCTTAGTCCTGCTCTGAATCCCTCCAGGCTCTGGATTGTAAGTTCCTAGAGGAGTTGTATGTTCCTCAGAGGGAGAGTTTTCCTTTAACCCTTAGAACTGTGAATTTTTCAAATCCTGACTTTAGTGAAAAGTTAGTTCCTGAATAAATGAATTAGTCCTGGTTGAAAAACACCCACGTCAGTGCTTAGGAGCTGAAACTTCCGGAGTTAAGTAACATGACATGGTTTCTTTGGATGAGTGCTTTCTCCCCTTGGGTCTTACTTCTCAACTCTGGTCGTCTTCTGACTCTTCTCTGCGCCCTTCCACCAGCATTTCACATACCCCTTGAGTCGTGGGCCTCAAAGTGGCAACGATGAGAGACATTTTAAGTCTGGTATAGAGGACGGAGCTACCTCTGCGTAAACCAACTACTAGGTGATGGTGCTGCCCAGTCCAAGGCCATGTAATCATGGGACAATCGCCTAGCCTGTTTTGTGTTGGTCATTGTCACCAGTTGGCATAGTGGGTCCTATGTAGGAAAATGGGGGAAGACTTTCTTGTATTCTTGGAGTACATTGTTACGTAATCAGACCCTGATTTACAGTTATAGTCACATGCCCATATCGTCTGCATGAAACTTTGGGAGCGTAGCTTTTTTAAACACTGAAATGAAAGGGTTATTTATGTATTATCCAGGTTCACTGTTTTACATTTCTAGACCAATTGTGAATGTAATTAGTCTGTATTTTCTGTCTTATATGTACACAGGAGTTTAATGTTTTGCTCTCTCATAACATCTTAAAACTGCTTATCTTCATATCTTATCTTTAAAATCCATTTACTTCTTTTTTCACCCTATTAAAATGAAACCACCAATTCACCTAACTTGGAAGTTAAAGTCATACTTTAAAAATAGGGTTTTCAGCACAGATTCAGTTGTGACTGAAACTCAGGCCAGGATATGAGAACAGGTATGATTGCTGATTTGAATAGCATATCCCTGTTTGGACAGAAGATGTTATTTCCCATGCCAGCCCCTAGTGATAACTCCAGGCTGTTTTTTCAGTCTTTTCCAGCTTTCACAAGACTGTTCCTTTTAGATAAGGATTTCCCTTTATAAACTTGTCAGCTAATCATGATGGTGCCTTATTTTGTCATTTGTGTCTGTGAGCCCTCTGCTCTTGAGCTGTCTCTGGTTATTGGTTTGACCTTTATTTTACTGAGTGCTTGTAATAAATCCCAAAAGCCACTTACAGAAGGATTTTTATTATTTTAATTTTTCTCTTAACTCCAATGAACAGGATTCCAAAAGAGGATTTGGAATAGCAGTGTCTGGAGGCAGAGACAATCCCCACTTTGAAAACGGAGAAACATCAATCGTCATTTCTGATGTGCTCCCCGGGGGGCCTGCTGATGGGCTGCTTCAGTGAGTGTCCTTGCACCCCAGCCCCTGCCTGCCCCACTGGTTGCTCCTAGACAGGGTATGCACTTAAAAAAACAAAACAAAACAAAACAAAACAACCAAACTTGCATATATATATACAAGAATTGAGACCATAACGTATTATGCTTTAACAATCCCTAAACCTTTAGAGGAAGGAGAGCAGTCATTTCCACAGGAAAAGAGTAATAACTATCACAACTATCATTCCTAGGCTTAGGAATCATTTCTGAATGTGGAGTACAAAATCAGCATGCTCTCCTCCCGGCCCCTAGCAACCCAACCAACACTTTATACTTATTTTACCTTCTATTCATTAAGGATTTAATGAGGATACTTTGGCTTAATGATGATCTGATTTGTGTTTTTTTTTTTGTTTTGTTTTGTTTTTTGAGAGAGACAGTGCACACACAAGCAAGGGAGGGGTGGGGGGGAGAGAGGGAAGGAGGGGGGAGAGTGGGAAGGAGGGTGGGGAGAGAGAGAGAGAGAGAGAGAGAGAGAGAGAGAGAGAGAGAGAGAATCTTAAGCAGGCTCCACGCTTAGCGTAGAGCTCAATATGGGACTCGATCTCACAACTTTGAGATCGTGACCTGAGCCGAAATCAAGAGTCGGCCACTTTACTAACTGACGTACCCAGGCACCCCAATGATGCTCTGACTTATAAGAGGGATGTGGAAACTGGGAAAACTTAATACATGAAAACACAGGTTTTCCAAATGCCAGCCTTCTGTTCTGAAGAGATCATGCCATTTTTAAAAGAAACATATCTGAGTTCCCTCAGGACAGTTTCTTGGGTCAGAATCTAAAATTAATTATATGACTGTCTTGGCCAGAGAGCTCAAAAGTTTAGGATTTATTGGCATATCAAGTCTGTATATTCGTATCTAAGTAGTCTTTCATACAGAGAGCAGTGTAGGATTTAAAAAGTGATTCTGGGGATGAGGTAAGTAAGAGGGTTCTAATGACCTCAATATTTCCTTAATAACCTCAGGCAAACTCCTGACCTCCTCCCCTCCGTAAAAACACAGATGGATATAAACCTGCTCTGGGGGCTATCTTTAGACTTCCTGAAGCCCACCATGCACCGCGGGCAGGGAGGGCCTAATGCAGAAGTTCCTTTTGTGCCTAGACCTTGCCACTGCCTAGTGCCTCCCGGAGGGACCCTTTGGTATTGGTCCCCCACTGGCTTCCCATAGACAATGTCAAAAGTGGGCTGAGCGGCTTGTGGGTTCCTTCCTGGGAAGAGTTCAGATTGAGTTGACCGATTCGGCCTCAGGAGTCGTCAGACACTGAGCCTTTTAGTAAGCATTTTGGGTCAATTTGTTGCTTTTATGTGTTCCCAAATAAACGATTTACAGTGAATAGATGGGAGTTTTTCACGTCTTCTTTTTATTTTTTGTTTGCAGAGAAAATGACAGGGTGGTCATGGTTAATGGCACCCCCATGGAGGATGTGCTCCATTCATTTGCTGTTCAGCAGCTGAGAAAAAGTGGGAAGATTGCCGCCATTGTAAGCTCTGGGTTTGCTTTCAGCTTGTCTCCGTAGCATCTTGTTTTGTATGATCAGAAGAAAATTACCACTTACTTTTAAACACTTGACAGAATTTAGGGGCTGCTACTTCTTGTTGCCCCTGCTTTGGGGTGATGTTACGGATGATGTAAATATGTAAGTAGTCTCTCCCTGCCTTTTCCTCATGCTGCTAACTTCCAATGACTCTGGTATCTGAGTGAGTTTGCTTTAGGAACCAGGCTGGACAATCCTAAGAGAATTCCCTAGATTGAGAACACTTGTAAGACAGTATTAATTTGGAAAATAAATTTCTGCTCAAAAACCCTTTTGTAAAGGCCCACACAAGATCTGTTATATCTTTTTTTAATTTTTTTTTTTTTTTTAGTGTTTTTATTTATTTTTGAAGGAGAGAGAGAGAGAGCATGAGCGGGGGAGGAGCAGAGAGAGAGGGAGACACAGAATTCGAAGCAGGCTCCAGGCTCTGAGCTGTCAGCACAGAGCCCGATGCGGGGCTCGAACTCACGAGCCGTGAGATCATGACCTGAGCTGAAGCCAGACACTCAACCGACTGAGCCACCCAGGCGCCCCTAGATCTGCTGTATCTTAATAAACTACAGTTTCTTAAGAGATACTGGCGGTCTGTAGCATTCATTCATTTGCTCAGTCATTCATCAGCAAACGCTGGGTGAGCAGCAGCTATGAAGATGCCACCTGAGCCTGGAGCAGGGCTGTGCTTCAGGGAGTGCCTACTCGAGCCAGGCAAGTGGACACACGAAGCCAGAAGTGAAATATGGTGTGTTTAAGGACAGTGCTAGGGAGATGTACTGGGTATGTTGTATTTAATTTTTTTCCCAACTTCATATTATGAAATTTTTAAGCAAAAAGAAAAGTTCTAAGATTAGTGTAATGAACACTTCTATATCTTCTACAGTTTTGTTTTTTTTTTTCTTAATGTTTATTCTGAGAGAGAGAGAGAGTGTGCACACAGATGTGAGCTGGGGAGGGACGGGGAGAATCCCAGTCGGGCTCTGCCTGTCACAGAGCTGCTCTCAGCGCAGAGCCAGGAGAGGGGCTGGATCTCACAAACCGTGAGATCATGACCTCAGTTGAAATCAAGAGTCAGACGCTTAACTGCTTAAACACGGAGCCACCCAGGCACCCCTCTTTTACAGTGTTAATATTCTGCCATCTTCACTTGAGTTTTTCTTTTTTAAAATGTTTATTTATTTGTTTTGAGAGTGGGGGCACCTGCGTGTGAGTGGGGGAGGGGCAGAGAGACAGAATCCCAAGCAGGCTTCAGGCCCACAACCACGGGATCATGACCTGCGCTGAAATCAAGAATTGGACGCTTAACTGACTGAGTCACCCACGTGCCCCACTTGATTTTTCTTTCTCTCTCTCTTTTCCTTTTAAGTTTATTTTGAGAGAGTGCAAGTTGGGGAGGGACAAAGAGAAGGGGACACAGGACCTGAAGCAGGCTCTGTGTTGACACCGGACAGCCTGACCTGGGGCTCAGACTTCATGACCTGAATTGAAGCCACCCTTCATGAGCCACCCAGGCGCCCCTCCACTTGATGTTTTTATGTATATAAACACGTATTTTCAGTAAACCATTTGAAGGAAAGCTGCAGATACGACAGTGTCAATCCTATTTACTTCAGCATGCATCTCCTAAATAAGGACATTGTTTTACATAACTATAACACTATGAGGAAATTAATGACTTTAAAGTATCATCTAATACCCAGTCCATATCCCAAGATGTTTTCAGTAGACTTTTCTTCCCCATCCAGGATTCCAATCAGGGCTCAGGCATTGCATTTGGTCATTAATCTCTTCAATGCCTTTTAATCTAGAAGGGTCCTTCTTTCTCTCTGCCCTCTCACTACGCTGTCCCCTCCCGCTCCATTACTGACACTGAGTTTTGAATGAATTAGGCAGTTGTATCCAGAATGTTTCAATTTCTGGATTTTCATTTTCATAACTTAGTGATTTAAAGTCCCTTGATGCTATTCAGAACACTTAGTAGAAGCAGATTTTAGAGGCCCTGTGTTCAGAGTTATACTCATGGTCTTATTATACTCAAGGCTTAGTGAGTTGGCGGGGACAGAGTTTTACTGAAAGGAGAAGCAGGGCTGGGCTCTTAACCCTGCATTCTCTGTAACTGTGCTTGTCCTGCATCCCCCCTGCGTTTGCTTGAATGACAGGTGGTCAAGAGGCCCCGGAAGGTCCAGCTGGCCCCACCCCAGGGCAGCCCGTCTGTCGGTGAGGATGACCGCGCTTTTGATGTGATGGACGAGTTCGACGGTAGAAGTGCCCGCAGCGGGTACAGCGAGAGGAGCCGGCGCAGCAGCCACGGTGCGCGCAGCCGCAGCTGGGAGGACAGTCCGGAGAGGGGGCGGCCCCACGAGAGGGCACGGAGTCCAGAGCGCGAGCGCAGTCGCGGCCGCAGCCTGGAGCGGGGTTTGGACCACGACGACTATGGGCGGGGCCGAGAGCGCAGCCGCGGCCGCAGCCTGGAGCGGGGTTTGGACCACGACGACTATGGGCGGGCCCGGGAGCGCAGCCGCGGCCGGAGCACAGACCGGGCCTACGACCGAGGTTACGACCGAACCTACAGCCCGGAGGAGGAGTACGGCCGCAGGGCCCAGCCCGATGCCCGATACGCGGCGTCCCGGAGCCGCAGCCGCGAGCACTTGCACTCCTGCAGCCCCAGCCCTGAGCTGAGGGGGCGGCCGGACTCGGACAGGCCCATCGGGGTTCTTCTGGTGAAAAGCAAAGCAAATGAAGGTAGGCATGCTTGCTGAAGAAGAGCACTATTACAACAGCTAACTCTTACGTGGCACTTACTGTGTGCCAAGCACTGGCCCAGATGCTTTGTGCCAGCTGGCTCATTTCTTCCTCATAACCACTGCATGTGGGAGTTACTTATATCTGCCTTATGTAGACAAGGAGACTGAGGCACAGAAAAGTTCATTAACTTGCACAAAGCTGTGTCACCAATGGCAGAGCCAGGCTGCAGAAATGTGGCTTTAAACTCCTAGGCCAGGGGTTCTCAAAGCAGCCTATGCACCACCTGGACACTCGCAGTAAATGCAGATTCTCAGGTCCCAGCCCAGCCCCGCCGAGTTGAAACACGGAGAGAGACCAGAGTCTGTGTTAACAAGCTCTCCTGGTGAGCCTGGTGCAGCTTGAGTGGTGAAACCATGAGAGTAAATCAGACTCTAGCTGATCTTGAGCGTTTGCTCTGTGCCAGGCCTGCGCTGAATAAATAACTCTTAATCTTCACCAGAGCCTTGTGTGGTAGATAGGAGACTTCACTCCTGTTGCCCAGTGGGGAGCATCGTGGTGCAGAGAAGTTTTGGTGTGCCCACAGATGAGAAGGGCCCTGGTCCAGCCTGCCTGTCCCACACTGCATTCCTTGGAGCACTTGCACATGGTTCAGCTCATCCAAAATTCACTAAAGCCCCACGTGGCAGTTAGAGAAGCCAGCAGTCCCTTAGTTAGGCGAGGATTGGAAACTTCAAGAAGGGAAGCGACTTGCCCACATCTTGAAGCCAGGAAGTGGTGAGCCAGAACACAAATTGCATCTCCTAGAAGTAGATAGATGATCAGAAACAAGTAGGTGGATGAACAAGGCTTTAGAGCCAGTGCGGAGATGTTCCCTGCATTGGTTCTTGGTTCTGACTTTTTAAATTACTTGTCATATATCTTTTATCTCTGTTCTTTACTTCTCCCTCCAAGAGGAAGAACAATGAAGAGCACCCAAGAATGCAAAGTTAACTTCTTGCCCTTTAGGTTGGGAGCTGACATTTCACATAGCCTGTCTGATGAGAGGGTTTGTTTTGTTTTTACTTCTAGTGGAGCACAAAGTTGAGTCTAGAACTAGGTGCCCATCGAAATACCTAAAGAATAACACAAGGATATGAGTAATGTGCTATGCAGAGTCCAGTCCCAGAAAACAGAGGAGTGAGTCGAGACTTTCCTATCTCTAAGGAATGCGCATCTTAGGAGGTTTAAGGATTCTACAGAATCTTTACAACCATTGATAATGATATATTAATTTATCAACCTACAAGAATTATAGAGTAAAAACCATCCTGCTCCCAGATTAGAAGATGGACTGGAGAAATTTTGAGAAAGATGACCTGGCATGAGACCTCCCTCAGAGAGGCCTGATACACCTTCTATAGGACTGGTACTCCAGGTTCTTGAGTTACCCAAGGTAGTGCTTTTCAGACTTTTCCTTCTCTTTCTCTTCTTTGCCTCTTTCCCTTTCCTTTCCCTCCTCCTTCCCTTCCACTGCAGAAAGAACCACATCTTGCAAACAATCACGGATGCATCTTCATATCAAAAAATTTGAACAAACCTTTCATGGACCAGTACTTATTCTGTGTGATGCATTTTGAGAGGTTCCATTACATTTTAAAATACTGTTCATAACTTACTACATTGATTTCAAGACTCACTAATGAATCTTGAAAAGATCTTGTCTGTAAGAGACGCCTAAGTCATGCCTGGTCTTACTAATACTATCAAGGATAGAAGGGGCTATGTCCCTTTGTTGAGACAGCATTTTATTCCTCCTAGGCCATTTTGTTACTCTAACTTGGAATTCACTGGGGGAAAAAAAGTTCCAATTTTTAAAAGATAATTTTGCTGTTTGTTAGGATTACACAGTAATTTGGCTATCACTGGCAAGAGTTGCATAAAAACTAATCTTCAAAGAAATCTAACAGTAGGAAAGACCTATATTTGACTAATAAAAATATCCATTTGAATTGCCCCGTTGCATTTCCTGGGCACCAGATAGCTTTGCTGGTACGTGTCTTAGAAGCTGGTCAACTCATTTTTTTCTCCATTTAAGAGATGCCCATAATACACCAATAACAACCTATTTGCAACTGTACAGTAAGACTGCAGTTTTTAAGAGGATAGAAGAATTGACACAGAAAGAAGTCATCATTCAAGCTGTCATAGCCTTCTGTGCTGGGCTGTGAGGCTGTTTAACCAACAAGGAACTGTCATCCATGAAAGAAGATGCTGTCTTACCCTTATTCTTTCTCATCACCTTCCTAAAGGGGTGGAGATGGACCTCAACTTTTTCAATTGTTGTCGTAAGATCTGATGCTAACTCACTGTAAAGCACTTAAAATTTATTTTAGGGGACAACCCGGTAGTTGCCAGAGGGGAAGTGGGGGGGGGGGGATGGCTGAGATAGGTGAAGGAGATCACTTACCATGTTGGGCACTGAGTAATGTATAAAATTACTGAATCATTATATTGTACACCTGAAACTAATAGAACACTGTATGTTAATTATACTTGAAAAAAAACTTATCTTTAAATCTACTTCATAACTTTTTTAAATGGTAGGAAGTTACTTTGTTTTGAAATTGTAAGATTTTGAGTCCAGAACAATAATAATAAATTTGAAAGTGTCTCTTTTTAAAACCTGCTGGGTTGTGGTTCCTAAAACAGCAAAAATTTATCCTTAAATTAGGTATTTTCATAAGTCTAATAAGTAAAATCAGAAGAGCCTGAATAGTATTTAAAATACTTTTCACTGTGCATATTTAGTAAATACAGTGTTTTTTCTTTTCAGAGCAATCCGAAGTTCACAAACCCCCTGAGTACAACACAGGTTTTACTTCAATACTTTATTGCTTGGCTTGGCTTACTGACCTGTTTTCTTCACACACTGAAATTTCTTCACTGTCAAACCCACACAGCTAAGTCATTACACATGAAGGGTATACCACTTTCCTTTCTGTAGGCAACTGCACTGTCAGCAGAACATCTTTATTGAGATGTACTGAGTTGGTTTCTTTGGGCCCCATTTTGAAAAGTGTTCATTTTAGAGCAGATACTCATATAGCCTTCACCTAGTTTTTCCATTTGTCAACATTTTGCCACATTTGTTTTCTTTCCCCTGCTTTTCTCCCCTTTCTTCCTTCTCTCTTCCTCTTCCACACCTCTTCTATCTCTCAGTGGTTTTTTGGAACCACTTGAAAGTAAACTGCAAGGGTGACCCCCTTTAGCCCTAAATATTTCAGCAGGTATCTCCCGGGCATAAGAACATTCTCCCATATAACCAAAATGCCATTGTGGGTTCTTTAGAAAATTAACATTAATATCCCTTTTAATATATTGTAGTGTGGTTCATTTTGAAGTTGCTCTCAATAACGTATCCCCCCTCCCACCAAATGCGTTGCATTTGGCTTTTATGTCTCTTTCAATCTAGAACAGTCCTTCTGCCTCTTTTGTTTTTTATGTCAATGACTTTTTTGATGAGTCCAGGCTGGTTGTCTGATAGAATGTCCTATGTGCAAAATTAATTTTTCACAAATATTTAAAAATTGACCTAAGAACCAGACTAAGTGTTCTGAACAAGTTGATGAAATATGTGTATGTTTATGTGTTTGTCTTCTAGAGTATGGTCTCCGGCTTGGGAGTCAGATTTTCATAAAGGAAATGACCAGAACTGGTCTGGCAAATAAAGATGGCAACCTGCATGAAGGAGATATAATTCTCAAGGTTGGTGATACAGGGTAGAGAACAACTGAATTCATGTTTATCTTTCTAGTCCAAATTTCCTATTTGAATGCTGATAGAGTGAAACTTTGATGAGATGGGAGTCAATAATAAGACAAAAGCTGGGAAGGGCAGTGGGGTGAGATTTTTATCACAAAAACCAGACATGGAGATTTGTAATAGTGTCATGTTAGTTTTTTAAAAAAAAATTCATTGAATACTTTCTTATTCCCTGTTTATTTAAAGTTTAAGCTCCTATTCCCTAAACTAAGGAAAGATGAGAGGGAGAGTTGGTAGTACATGAATGTTGAATGTTTAATAGTTTCTGTAAACCTCTCCAGTCAGGAAACATGTTCCAGTAGTAAACCAAACCATCGTCTTGAGCTTGGAAGTTAAATAAATTAGCAGAGTAACTTAAGTATACCACAGCTCTCTCATGCCTGTCTTTGAGATCCAGGCATGCAGGGTTATATTTAATTTAAAGGATAATCCATTTTTATTCAGTCATCCTAAAACTCATGTTGTTTGAATAGCTGAGCAAAGACTTTACACTTTTATAAGGGCAAAATACAAACTTGCTATTTTGCTGTGAATAGCTGCATCACATGTAACATGACCATTATTCATAAACACAGATAAATGGAACTGTAACTGAGAACATGTCTTTAACGGATGCTCGAAAACTGATAGAAAAGTCAAGAGGAAAACTCCAGCTAGTGGTGTTGAGAGACAGCAGGCAAACACTCATCAACATCCCGTCGTTAAATGACAGCGACTCAGAAATAGAAGGTAAAGAGGGGGAAGCCTGTGAGCTTGGCTGGAAACAAGGAAGGCTGTTGCTTTTCCATTCTCACTGTAGTATAGCCATCCAGCTGGAAGTTAAATTTACAACAAAAGCTTCTGTTTTAAAATTTAATTCGGATAAGTGGTGGTTATTTTCTTACTAAAGTGTCTGCTGATACTAGTTTTCCAATATGAAATTCAGGTGGACTTGTGAACTCCCCAGTGGAATCTGTTTCAGGCCACTGAAAAAAAACTTGTTCGTAAAAAATATATGTGTGAGTGGCTCAAAGACCTAACCACATCCATTTGTAAATTGTTCAGTCTTGTACTTTCTTGCATATGTTTAAAAAGCGGTATTAATATTTCAAATAAAGGGAAGGTTATATGGAAGATAGCTAAACAGTCAGAATGGCTGAATATTGTGGTATTCATTAATTAGCAATCTGTGTCATCTCTTCTGTCTTAGGAAGCAATACTCACTTCTTAAATCTGAATTACACATGGGGGTCACATTTTAACGATGCAAAAACTTACCAATAAAAATAAGTAGGTATGATACTGACTAACCATCTAGTACTGCCTTTGTGCAGAAGAACTTGGAAAATATTAAGTACTCAAGTTTGAAGACAGACATGTTGATTTTTTTTTTAAGTTTATTCATTTTTGAGAGAGAGAGAGAGAGAGAGAGAGAGAGAGGCAGAGAAAGAAAGGAACACAGAAGCCGAAGCAGGCTCCAGGCTCCCAGCTGTCAGCACGGAGCCTGATGCACGGCTCAAACTCACAAACTGTGAGATCATGACCTGGGCTGAAGTTGGATGGTTAACCAACTGAGCCACCCAGGTGCCCCAGCCATGCTGATTTTTAAAAGAATTACTTTATGAAACCATACAACTTAGGTTAACTTCCATCATATCAAAAGTCTAATCATTTGGTTACTGCTATGAGTGCAGTGCAGGAAAACAGAGCAGGAGAAATAATCCCAGTATGCTAAGAGCTTATAGGTTATTTACTTGCTATTTCAAGTGTTATCCTTAGCCCATTGGCTGCATGAGCCTCTGGGAGCTTGCTGGAATCACAGAATCACAGGCCTGATTGTGTGCTAGAATAGCTAGTCTAACAAGATCCCAGGTGATTCGTATGCACATTTAAGTTTGAGAAGCACTGCTCTGTGTGGTTAAAAATGAGTGGATACATGTATGATCCAGTAATTGAATTCTGACTCCTCAGTAGCAGCTTTGATGGAAGGTGTAATGAAAGAGGAACATAAAATTCTGAATTTGGCTTCCTCTTTATTAATTAATGTCTTTCCCTTCAAAGGCTCAGATTTGCTTCAAGGGAAGACTGCTAGACTAACAGCACATTTACTCCTGCCTCTTTTCCATTTCTCATATTGGCTTACCCAGAGAATAATATCACTTCTGGTACAGTCTTCAATATCTTAATAAGAAGTCTTTTCTTATTTTTGAAACCAGATATCTCAGAAATAGAGTCAAACCGATCATTTTCTCCAGAGGAGAGACGGCAGCAGTATTCCGATTATGATTATCATTCCTCAAATGAAAAGCTGAAGGAAAGACCAAAGTAAGATGATGTATACTTTCCCTCATGCGCGACACCGTGAATGTACACACATACATTTTACAGATCTGTTGCATTATGAGACATTAACATGATGTGTGCTTAAGTTCAAGAGAGGACATGCAGAACAGATGGTCCAGGATGGGCGCCACACCCACTCCCTTTAAGTCCATGGGGGACGCTGCAGCTGCACTTGGCACAGAGAACAGCAAGGAACCCAAATACCAAGAGGAACCGCCAGGTGAGGCTCCTTGTAAACAGCTGTGTTCGGAAGTATGTGCTTGGTCATTCCAGAGGGTGGCCAGAAGGAGAGAGAAGTTATTAAGAAATCATTCAGATATGTGGAAGAGGCACTCCAGTCTCTTTTAATATTAAAAAAACTTACAAGAATAATAGCCCTTACCATATGCCAACAGATTGGTCACATTTTTTAAATGTTTCACTATATTTATGGTCTTTGTGTTTCCCATCTCTGATCCCAACCTGAACTGCTCTGCTCTTAACATTTCTGACACCAGGGGCGCCTGGGTGGGTCAGCTGGTTGGGTGTCCAACGTAGGCTCAGGTCATGATCCCGCAGTTCATGAGTTTGAGCCCCATATTGAGCCTGCTGCTGTCAGCTTGAGCCTGGAACCTGCTTCAGATTCTGTTCCCCCCCCCCTCTCTGCCCCTCCCCCATTATCTCTCTCTCTCTCTCTCTCTCTCAAAAACAAATAAACATTAACATTTCTGACACCAAACGTGTGGGTTTCTTCCCCTACTCAACTACCAATTCTCGAATTCTCCAGACACCAACTGATCATCCTACAATTCACTTCAGTCCTGGCACTGGCTACCCAGAGTTGAGTGCCGACCCCACAGGTTAAGCATTCAGTCCCATAAGATACCTTCACTGCAGACACCACTGCAATCCCCAGGTGCTCCCTATACTTCTGACCAAATCAGCTCTGAACCGAGGGTTCCCATAACCTCCTCCTCACTCTGGTTTGATCATTTGCTAGACTGGCTTACAGAACTCAGGGAAGCACTTTATTTCCTATTACTGGTTTTTATACGACAGAGGAACAGCCAAATGGAAGCAAGGTATAGGGTGAAGGGCACAGAGCTGCCAGGTGCTCTCCAGGCGTACCACCCTTCCCAGTATCTCAGTGTGTTCACTGACCCCAAAGCACTCCAAACTCCATAGTTTATGGATTTTACGTAGGCTCTGTCATGTGTGTGATCAGTTATTAACTGAGTCTCTAACCCCTGTCCCCTCCCAGATGGTGGGGAGGTAGGCTGAAAGTTCTAAGCTTCTAATCATGGGTTGCTCTGTCTGGTGACCAGTCCCCATCTTGAGGCTATCGAGGAGTTCTCTCTTTAGAGACCGAGATAGAGGAAATTCCAAGAGATGTAGGACTTGTGTCAGGAACTGAAGGCAAAGAGGAAAGAGAGAAGATTGTCCTGGCACCCATATCACTCTGGAAATTACAGGGATTTTAGGAGCTCTGTATTAGGAACTGGGGGCAGAGACTAAATGTATATATATATATATATATATATGTGTGTGTGTGTGTGTATATATACATACATATATATATATATATATACATTTAGTCTCATATATATATATATATATATTTGTTTTATTTCCTTTATTTTTATTTTGAGAGAGACAGAGAGAGCATGAGCAGGGGAGGGGCAGAGAGGGAGAGAGAGGATCCCAAGCTCTCAGGGCTCATGACTCAGGGCTCAAACTCATGAAAGTGTGAGGTCTTGATCTGAGTTGAAATCAAGAGCTGGACACTCAACTGACCGAGCCACCCACGTGCCCCCCAAATATATATGTTTCCAATCCTGTCACAGTTAAATTTTGTCTTATTTGATTAACTGAAGTCCTTTTGTTTCCCACTTCTGATCTCAACCCCATCCTCCAGCCCTGCCCCGTTGCCCTAAAATTATCATTGTGATTTTACATAATATTTATTGATGGTAAGGGCCGATTTATGTGGTTTTTAAAGTATATAAAATGTTCTTTCGCATGTGACTGTGCACCTGGGATTTTGGAAGTTTCTTACCTCACTTATTTTGAGAAACTATTCGTACCTGCTAATGCCTCCAAATTAAACTTCACCTTAAAGACTTATTTTTGTTGTCTGATGTGATGATTTATATGTAGCATAAGGTACCGATTTGGATTTTTGTGGATTTTGTGATCTTTATAGAGACAAACTCACTCTAGTTCTCTTGTTAATGATAGGTGGTTTTTAATCCACAGCTCCTCAACCAAAAGCAGCCCCAAGAACCTTTCTCCGTCCTAGTCCTGAAGATGAAGCAATATATGGGTATATCTTTCAGCCTCTCTCTCTTTTCCTTTCTCCTTCCATACACCTCAGTGTCCTTAACTGAAGTACACTGGTGTTTTTTAACTGCAGATGGCAGTTTTGCATATAATGGGCCACCGTTAACCAACCTCTATTGTTAGTGTTTATGAGAAAGAGAAATAACTTGTAGGAACAGAAAAATGTGGAATTTGGCGAACTTTGTAATGTTAACTTTGCTTGTCTACTTATCTGGCTGCTTTTCCAGAATGTGATTCTGAGTATTTGAGTTTGCCAAATTGGTAACTCTCAAATAGGTGAAATGTTGCTTAACTACAGGACCTTTTTAGGGTTGTAGTATCCTGACGATCCTAGCATGTGGAGGGAGGATAGAAATGACACAGTGCTCTGCTCTGGATAATGAGAACCCGTGTGGTTCAGTGGTGGTAGAGAGGGGCAGCTTCTGGAGTAAGATCCGACCTTGCTGGACCCAGGTTGTGTCTCCATTTGGCAAGAATCCTGTGGTGGCCGCAAGCTTTCCTTTGGGAGAATCCTCAAGTGGGAGTCAGATGGCCTAGCCCTGCCTTTTGTTTGCTTTCTAATCTTGAATGAGTTTACATAAACACCTGTATTTCTACTTATTAACCAGTTAAGTGGGCCTGCTGATGTTCATCTCATAGTCCCAAAAACGACAGATAAAAACGAGAGATTTTTAATATGTAAATCTCTCCATAAATAGAAGAAATTAAATCTTTCACTAATGTTGTTCTCCTTCACAAAGAAAAATCTCCCATCTTTCTTTTCTAAAACCGAACCGATTGCAGTCCCAATACCAAAATGGTGAGGTTTCAGAAGGGAGACAGTGTGGGCCTCCGGTTGGCTGGTGGCAATGACGTTGGGATATTTGTGGCTGGCATTCAAGAGGGGACCTCCGCAGAACAAGAAGGCCTTCAAGAAGGGGACCAGATTCTGAAGGTAGGAAAAGCCCAGCCCCGTTTCTAGACGTTACTGGGGAAGAGCTGATTATAAGGGAAGTGTCTAGCTCGTGAAAACAGACCAGTAGCAGGTTTGTTCGTGCTAAACATAAGTTCTGTTTCCCTGAATGGGCCCTGTCTTCTCAGTCCTGGAACCCAAAACTCATGCCCATGCCTGTGGGAATTTATAGTGTTTAAGACCCTTGCTAAGATTTTTATTAGTAAGCTTAACAAAAAAAGATTGAGATTCTAACTTAAGGCCTAGGAGGAAGACCTCTCAAAAGATCTTGCTAATGTTTGTTTTTTATTGATTCCCTGCCTGGTTGTCACTCTTAAGGCAGTGTGCTGAACTTGAACAAGGGTGGGTGTTGGCTTAGATCATCAGCCTTGAATCCACTCCCAGTCTCTCATTAGTTCCGTGACCTTGGTTTAATCCTGACACTCAGGTTTCATATCTGTTCAATGGGGATGAGAATACCTGCCTTGCAGGGTCCCTGGAAGATTGGAATGGATAACACTCACAAGGCATTTAGCAGAGTTCCTGGCACAGAGCAGGAAGGTCAATGTCTGTTCTTCTCCCCACTGGAAAATAACAAGTTGCTGCCACTCAGGATGTTGTTTACATCTAAAATTGACCAGGAATGGGAATTTCTGGTTAATCAAATATTGGTCCTTTTAAAGTTACTATATATATGTTTATATAATCTACTACTTTTAGAAAATAAACTCAGCTTTGACATTTCATGAGATACATATAATGTATTTTCCATTGGCTTCTGAATAAAGAACGTCAAATACCTCGTGACTCTGAAAATACAGGGAACTGTCTTCACTGGAATTTCTGCTTCTGTAAACTTGCATTTCATATGAGTTTATTAGGGGGTCTGGTAAAAGTATCTAGGTTCAAAGGAGAGAGGAGAAAAAAAGTTGCAGAATTCCCAAGGAAGCAGGCAACAGAGCCCCAAAACAGGTGGTCCTCTTCCTTGGCTCTTGGCCTCACTGCGGTAGTTCAGATTTCATTTCTGGAGCAGATGAAGGGCAAAGCTTGATCATGAGCTTTGCTGAAGCTTTCCAGTGATATTCTAAACCTTCCTTGGCTCTGGTCAGGATCCTAGAAGACCAAGTGTACCTGAGTGAACCTGGTGGTACCACGTGATCCTAGGAAATACCACTTACCAAGTGTTATCGATAAGAATCCCATCAGAGTGCCAGCTCATACCAATTTACTTTTGGGCTGATACCAAAGGAGAGAAAGCATTATTTCCTAACTAATGTGGGGCTATAGGAAGTCAGGAATTTGGAAGCCTTTGCTCATGAAGGTTCAAGAATAAAATATTTTTGTATCCTTGGGTAAAAAAGATTTTCTGAATTTCCATGAAAACATAGTGAATTCACCCCAAGGCCTAATAAGCCTCTCTGTAAGTTGTTAAAGACAGGAGAGTCATTTCCATGTGTAAAAGTCATGGTATGCAATGTTTATACTTAAGAAAGTGTCTTATTTTTTATCACCCTAGTAAAAGACAAGAAGAAAACTATGGGAACCAGCTTTTTTTTGGGGGCAGTAATCCCATCTGAAGGTCAGACAATAGATGGTCCTCGTTCTTGGGCGTGAATAAATTTTCTGTTAAGGAACTCTCAGCTCTACAAAAGGGTAAAAAAGACTTGAGCTTGCCTACTGGGGCAGAGAAGCCGCTATATAATCAAAAGCTGTAGCTGATACAGAATCCTTTTCAGGCTCACAGCAGACACGGCTAGTCCCCGTAGACTACTAAATAGATTAATGAAAGGGGATATTTCTTGGAGAGGACTGTACAACCTAACCTTCCAGTATCAAAGTGCTGTCCTGGCCTTTTTAACTGTAATTTGTTCCAGCATTCACGGCCAAATTGAATATGTGGGGAACTCTGTACATATACTAAACACTTTTCTTCTGTTGAGGGTTTTTTAAGTGGAGCTCTTCCCTTTGTAAAGATGGCAGCCTGACATGTGGAATGAACACACCAGTGTATTGTGGCAGGATATCTGCCTTATCCGTTAACAGACGTATATGTTTTCATGTTTGGCATAACTCTTTGCTTATTATTTATCTGGTATGGTTCTTATTTCTCTTTCAGAAACTTTTATGGGATGGAAGAGAGAAAGAAACTCCTCTAAGTTTTTAAATGTAGCTACCATGTGTGATTTAATTTTGACCAGTGTAGTTTGTAGCTCGATGGAAGGTCAGTCTCACATGGCCATAGGATGGACAGATGGACCCTCAAGGTCTTCCCTCAAGCCCTATGGCCTTATCTCATTTAAATAAAGATGGGGTGCCTGGGTGGCTCAGTCGGTTAAGCATGTGACTTTGGCTCCAGTCATGATTTTGCGGTCCGTGAATTTGAGCCCCATGTCAGGCTCTGTGCTGACAGATCAGAGCCTGGAGCCTGCTTCAGATTCTGTCTCCCTCTCTCTCTGCCCCTCCTCCACTTGCATGTGTGCTCTCTCTCTCTCTCAAAAAATAAACATTAAAAAAATTTTTTTAAATAAAAATAAAGGCATATAGAGTGCATACAAAAACATGTCACCATATACAGACACAGGTGTAGTAGATATGAAAATGGCATAAGAAAGGATTAGATTCTAAAATCTGATGATCCCTAATTAGGGGATAGAGAGATGGAATGACAGATACCCTAAATGATAAATACTGTTTCAAAGGAAAAGTTAATGGGATTGCTTTAGCAAGTTACTTTATTTCAAAAGCACCAAGGGTCAACCTAATGCCTGTTTTCACTTAATCATAAATTCCAATCTTAATTTAGGCTCAATGATTTTTTTCAGTGATAAAGTAATAAAGACTTCCATAGTCCTCAATGACTGAAAAAAATATTTCGTAGGAATTCTGTATCTTCTTTTTACTTCTATATTGTTAAAATATTAGGTACTTAAAAAACATTTTTTTTTAAATGTTTTACTTAGAGTCATAGTGGAAGAGGGGCAGAGAGAGAGGGAGACTGAGGATCTGAAGTGGTCTCTGTGCTGACAGTAGAGACCCTGATGCGGGGCTTGAACTTAAGAGCTGTGAGATTAAGACCTGAGCCAAAGTCCCATGCTTAATTGACTGAGCCACCCAGGCGCCCCTAAAATAATTTTTATATTTGCTTATTTTTGACTATTCTGTTTTAAAATGATTTTAAAGGTACTGAACAAAGATTCCAAAATGTCTTTTTCTTTGTGCCACATTTCAGTTTTACTTGCTTTGTAACTTACCTTTCAAAACCTAATTACTGTGTCCCCTCTTTGGTTGATGGGGGATAAATGTTGTGGCTCCTTGCCAGAAGCTTAAATATATAAGTCTATCTATTAGGCTAATGGTCTGCCATTTAAGGCTAATGCTCTTCAGTTTCATAAACACATATTAAAAACCTTTTAGGTGACAGAACTTACAGGAGAAAGGTGGAATTGCATTTTTATTTTCAGGCTTTTATTTGAATCAACTTAAAGTGTTAATGCCTTAAGTTGGGCCAGCATGCTTGTTTTGCCATAAAACTCTACCACTCCCTATAGCATTACAGTTATGTTTCATAATTGTATATTACCTCCCTGACCACCTCTATGGGAGACTCAAAGAAGAGACAGACACACAAACATAATAAGAATGTTTAATCTGATCCAGTGACAAATCCTTGATGGAATGGCCTATTTCTAAGGGACGGTTGGCAGTGTGGGGAGGCAGGAGGGTATGGTGACTCACACAGCCTAGGCCCATAGGAGGTATTGGGAGGGTTTCAGTTGGGACACTAAGGACTTTTTTATATCTGGGATTTGCTTTAGGCAGGCCCTGATGAAAACAAAGAGACAAAAACTTAGGTGACATCTTTTAAAAAACCTCTTCTTCTTCTTGTTTTTTGTTTTGTTTTCTTTTTGTTTTTTGCGTTTTTGTTTTTGTTTTTTTTTTCGGTTTGTTTTTCTGTTTGCCTTATCAGGTGAACACACAGGATTTCAGAGGGCTGGTTCGGGAAGATGCCGTTCTCTACCTGCTAGAAATCCCTAAAGGTGAAATGGTGACCATATTAGCTCAGAGCCGAGCTGATGGTGAGCATGTTTGGTTATTAGTTTAATGCGGGGAGTGGGTGAAGGGAGGAAGGATGAGAGAGGTATCTTGGGACCAGAATAGGTAAGTCTGGGTATTAAAAAACTGAAGTATATGTTCACACTCAATTTCTGAGTCATAGGTATGTGGAGAAAATTTGGGTACCATTTAATGTCCTACAGAAATGTCTTCTGTACACCAACTGAAATCATATTACCAGTTGTGTCAATTTGGAATAAAATTGTTTTTCTGAATAGTGATCTGTCCTTAAGTACTGCCTGGAGTTTATGGAGTTTCCATATGCAAGATACAAAGGGCCCCATCTGTGGATCAACTCCCACATTAATGCTTATCTGACAAGTTGCTATACCCTTATCTTGACAATGCAAGTCTGACAACTTGCTATACCCTTTCAGACTTCATTGTTCTCATCTGTAAAATGGGGGTTGATAGCATCTTCCCTGTCTGCTTCAGGGGTTGACTGGCAAGTATATTAGGACTCTCTAAAGCAATAGAATCAATAGGATATATATGTGTGTGTGTGTGTGTGTGTGTGTGTGTGTGTGTGTGTGTGTATGTGTATAGATGTTTATTATAAGGAATGGGCTCACATGATTACAGAGGTTGGCCAAGTCCCAAAATCTGCCGGGTGAGCTGGCAAGTTGGAGATCCACGAGAGCCAATGATTTGGTTCCATTCCAAGTACAGAGGCCTGAGAACTGGGAGAGCTAATGGTGTAGTTACAGTCTGAAGGTTAGCAAGCTCACAACCCAGGAAGACCTGATGCTTCCATCTGAGTCTGAAAGCAGGAAAAAAGCTGATGTCCCAAAAGCTGATGTCCTAGTTCTAAAGCAGGAAGAGTTTGTTTTTTCTTACTCAGTGAAGAGTTCCCCTTTCTGTTTTATTCAAGCCGTCAACTGATTGGCTGAGGCCCACCACATGAGGAAGTGCAATCTGCTTTACTCAGTCTACTAATTTAAATGTTGATGTTCATTCCATAACACCCTCAGTTACACACAGAATAATGTTTAACCAAACATCTGGGCACCCTGTGGCCCAGTCAGGTTGACACAAAATTAACCATTATGGTGACTCATGGAGTTAGCTTTCTGTCCTTGTTTGAGCCCTGATTCCCATCGGGTCTGTTCACTGAGTTTACTAAATGAAGAGAAGTAAAAAGGGTGATCAGGGATAGGAGAAGCTGGTAACTGTGAAGCAGAATGCAACATACAACAATGCTTTTGTTTTTCAGTGTATAGAGACATACTAGCTTGTGGCAGAGGGGATTCGTTTTTTATAAGAAGCCACTTTGAATGTGAGAAGGAAACTCCACAGAGCCTGGCTTTCACCAGGGGGGAGGTCTTCCGAGTGGTAGATACGCTGTACGATGGCAAGCTGGGCCACTGGCTGGCCGTGAGGATCGGAAATGAGTTGGAGAAAGGCTTAATCCCCAACAAAAGCAGGTATCAGAGATCATACACTCTCATACACCTCTCCTAAGTGTTCCACAAATCAATACAGTCCCTTCCCTGCTCAAAAAGGAAGCCCCTATAACTTCATCATTTGTCGTTGTGTCCTCTCCTGTTACCTATTCCACCTATTCTTATTTATGAGGTGTGGCCCGGGACCGTGAGATACCCACTAAATGGTCTGCTGTACTTAGTTAGCATCATGTGGTTGGCTGTTGCACCTGGCTGGTGTTTCAACGGTTTCCAGGGGAGTGCCTGCCACCTTGTGTAGCCTACAAGCAGATTACCAAGCGGCTGTAGCAAACCAACACGCCTCTCAGAGACAGGTTGCCCTTGTCCGCTGTCGGGCCCGCATCCTTGGACGGGGCTGATCTATCCCAGTTAACACTTGTTGGTTGGCTGACTAGGGAAAATAGTAAAGATGATTATACTTTGGCATGGATTTTAGTTATGTTTATTGTATTCCATCCTACCAGAATGAGCCAAGTTTATTGTGTTCTGAGCTATTTCTGGTAGGTTTTCTGTGCACCCAACCATTCTTTGCTTCCACTGTGTGGAGAATGTCCCCACGTTTCCCATTCTGTGAAACCTCTTCTGTGTCAAGCTGCATCTTCTCTATTCCAAGTTCATAAGCAGTATTGACTAGACTTGGTTAATTTTAACTTCATTTGTGCATTTTCTGGCTTTTGAGATTTACTTCCTGTGGTTTTTTTCTCTCAGAGCTGAACAGATGGCCAGTGTTCAGAATGCCCAGAGAGACAATGCTGGGGACAGAGCAGATTTCTGGAGAATGCGTGGTCAGAGATCTGGCGTGAAGAAAAACTTAAGGAAGAGTCGGGAAGATCTAACAGCCGTTGTGTCAGTTAGCACCAAGTTCCCAGCCTATGAGAGGGTTTTGCTGCGAGAAGGTGAGGAAGCTAAGTGGGGCCTAAGGAAATGATCTGACTGGGCTCTGAGCCTGTTTTTCTTCATTTTCATACTGTAACAGTCAGGTTCAAACTTACCATACCACTTAGACCAATGCCAGGTTATAGCGTTGGAATCACACTCAAACATGAAATAAAATTTCCAAAAAAGTGAGCTGTGCCAACTCTTACATGGAGGTGTATTTCCACATCTTATGTTATTTAATTTTTTTAATTTTTGGGGGGGTGGAGGGGCAGAGAGAGAGAGGGAGAGAGAATCCCAAGCAGGCTCCAGGCTTAGTGAAGAGCCTGATGCAGGGTTTGATCTCATGACCCTGATCATGACCTGAACCGAAACCAAGAGTCGAAAGCTTAACCCACTGAGCCACTTGGGCGCCCCTTCAGTTATTTCTTCTGATACTACCATTCAAAAGTTTTCATATATTGCCTATAGTAAAGTTTTTTTTTTAAGTGTTTATTCATTTTTTGAGAGAGAGAGGGAGAGCGCGAGTGGGGGAGGGGGGAGAGAGGGAGACACAGAACCTGAAGCAGGCTCTAGGCTCCAAGTTGTCAGCAGAGAGCTTGAGGCGAGGCTCGAACCCATGAACCATGAGATCGTGACTTGAACTGAAGTCAGATGCTTAACTGACTGAAACACCCAGGTGCCCCAGTAAACTTTATCTTTGACACTAGGGAGGGGAGTAAAGGCATATTCTTCAGGAAAGAACAGGGCTGAACTGAGGGAGGGAGGGAGAACACACCATTTCTTTTTTTAATTATGTTCATCACTAGCCTATAAAATACTTTGGCTTCTTATCTTAATAGCTGAGGAAATGTGTTTCCATGGCCTTTCTTGTCTCATTTCAGCTGGTTTCAAGAGACCTGTGGTCTTATTTGGTCCTATAGCAGATATAGCACTGGAAAAGTTGGCAAATGAGTTACCTGACCTGTTTCAAACTGCTAGTAAGTCTGTTGATGATCTTTTCCTCCCCAAATTTTCAGTTTGAGAAATATCTAATATAAAGGAAAAATGGGAAAAAAGGAGAATACCCACATACCCTTCACATGCAGTCACTGTCACCAGTCAGAAAGTTTGCTATATATCACCCCTACCACAGACACAGATACACACTCTTAAAATTTTCTTTTGAGCCATTTGAAAAGTTTAAGTTGTAGACGTTGTAACATTTTTTTAGCCACGTGAGTCTCCTCAGAACAAGAGCATTCTTCTATACAGTGACACTGCCAAGAAATTTAACACTGATAAAACCGTACTGTTTAGTATATATTGTGTTTATGTGTACAAAGACAGAAGTAGCCTCCTCTTTCTACTTTATTTTCTAACATTGATATCTTGCAGAGTCCAAGCCCCTTGTCTCACCTGTGGGACTATCTGCTTCCTCATGATTAGATTTCAATTTAAGAGGTGGTGTGAGTGCTTCTCCTCTCTCTTTAGGGTGGCACCTTATGTCAGACTGATGGAGTCTCTGATTTTGATTTCTAAAAAAGTTGGTTAGCCCCTTGTTTTTGCTTTTGCAGAAACGGAACCAAAAGATGCAGGATCCGAGAAATCCAGTGGGGTGGTGCGGTTAAATACAGTGAGGCAAATCATTGAACAGGTGAGGAAATTCATCTGAAGGCCATGTTGTCGGAAGGAATTAGCTCATGGTTTGCTGGAGTCTTTTTTAGGACAGAATCTGTTTTTAATAATCATTAAATGTTAATTGTAAAAAATAAATATAAATGTAAGCTGTTGCATTGTGTGGAAACCAGGTGATGTTCAGCGGCAGTGACGTACTGTTTTTTTCAGTTCTCAACATTATACCAGATAACCTGTTAATTCATTTTCTCAGCAGTTCCAATAGACGAGTAGTATTAAAGTGGACATAACGTGGAGGAAAACATTCTGCTTTTGGATTTAAATTGACAAGTTTTATCTGATGCAGCCTTTACTTAAAATAAATTCTTTGCTGGTGTATGATTTTACATAACTTTGTCGTAACTTTTCCCCATTTCTGACAGGATAAGCATGCACTCCTGGATGTGACTCCTAAAGCTGTGGACCTGTTGAATTACACTCAGTGGTTCCCGATTGTGATTTTTTTCAACCCAGACTCCAGACAAGGTGTCAAAACCATGAGACAGAGGTTGAATCCAACGTCCAACAAAAGTTCTCGGAAGTTATATGACCAAGCCAACAAGCTTAAAAAAACTTGTGCACATCTTTTTACAGGTAAGTGAAATTTAAAATGTTGTCTCTTTGTTCCATGGTGGAAAATACAGAATTGAAGAATGGAAGAACCAAGAAAATAATATGAAAAAAGAAGAATAATCTGAAATCCTATTCATGACTCCTTGAAAAGTTAATCCTAGGGGCGCCTGGGTGGCTCAGTCGGTTAAGCGTCCGACTTCGGCTCAGGTCATGATCTCACGGTCCGTGAGTTCGAGCCCCGCATCCGGCTCTGTGCTGACAGCTCAGAGCCCGGAGCCTGTTTCAGATTCTGTGTCTCCCTCTCTCTCTGCCCCTCCCCTGTTCATGCTCTGTCTCTCTCTGTCTCAAAAATAAATAAACGTTAAAAAAAAAAATTAAAAAAAAAAAAGTTAATCCTATAAAATGAGTTTATGAGACTCATTGAGTGTGTATATTTAATTTTGACTAAAAATGATCATAAAGATCTATGACATTGCAAAAATTGGTCATTATGATGAGGTTCAAATTTTTGTGTGGGACTGTAGGCTATTGAGCCCAGTGCAACACTAAACACCCCCATCTCTATATAGCTTGTATCGTTCTCTACTTACCATGCATGTGTGCACTAATGGAGTGGTAGGAACTTGGTTTCATTATTTAAAAAGGTCCCCAAAATAGAAACTTGAACACTCTGGGTACTGGATGATATTCTATTACTTCCATTTTTAGGATAAATGATACTGTGATTATGTTTTAAAAATAAAGAGTTTTTATCTTGTAGGAATGTATACTAAATAAAGTATTCATGGATGACCCTAATATATATTTATGGATGACCTAATATCATGCCTAGCATTTGCTTAAATGATCTTTGGTGAGGAGAGTGGGTGGGGATATTAACACGAGTTGATAGTTGTTGAAGGTGGGTAATGTAGACATGGAAGTTCATGTTCTCTCTACTTTGCATATGTTTAAAATTTTATATCACAGAATATTAAGTTCCTGAAATGAAGACCCACTGCTACTATTCCTTAAAAAATAATCTAAGAACATAGCATGTTTTAATAACTGAATATACGCTACCTACATACGTGACTAGTTCTGTGAATGCAGTATAATTCAGGGTTTAAAAGGGTTGTATGAAGTTTTTGGTCATGCAGTTTTGTGGGAGCAACGTGAGGTGACTGTTGTGGATAGAACATCCTTCACGTAGTGATGATAGCTCTTTTGAGTTCAGTGCTGCTCACCATCTACTTGTCATTTTTAGCATATCTGACACTGGGGAAGGGGGGGTAGATAGATGTACGTCCACATTAGACTCTTGTTTTATTTTCACTGGCTTTTCTTGTTAAAGATATGTGCTATTTATCACTATGGTGAAATGCTGTAACTGAGAGGTAATTTAGCCAAATGCACAGGAGAGTGGTCTATCATAAATTTTTTTTTTAATGTTTATTTTAATTTTTTTTTTCAACGTTTATTTATTTTTGGGACAGAGAGAGACAGAGCATGAACGGGGGAGGGGCAGAGAGAGAGGGAGACACAGAATCGGAAACAGGCTCCAGGCTCTGAGCCGTCAGCCCAGAGCCCGACGCAGGGCTCGAACTCACGGACCGCGAGATCATGACCTGGCTGAAGTCGGACGCTTAACCGACTGCGCCACCCAGGCGCCCCTTTAATGTTTATTTTAGAGAGAGAGAGAGAGAGAAAGTATGTAAGTGGGGAAGGGGCAGAAAGAGAGGGATACAGAGGATCTGAAGTGGGCGCTGCACTGATAGCAGAGAGCCTGATGTGGGGCTCGAACTCACGAACCGTGAGATCACTACCTGAGCTGAAATTGGGACACTTAACCGACTGAGCTACCCAGGTGCTCCATAAACTGGGTTTTTTTTAAATGTAAAGTCTTAAGAGCTTGGGCTTTTGATACATTCATACTCATCTTTCCTCTTGTTTTTACTACTGCTACTAATAGTAATAATGTAATTAATAATTATTATCACTATTTTTATTATAGCAGTAGCTAACATTGGTATAGCTTTTCATGTGCTTATTGGACTGTAAGAAAAGCCAGGTGACTTTTACAGGGTCACACATTGAATGGTGGGGCCCAGAAGAAACTGATGTCTCTGTGTGTCCAATATTCTATATGTTACAGCACAGATGTATTTTTAATGCTGAAAGGGGTCATATAGCATCATTCCTCTGTTTAACAGATAATTAGTCCATTTAACCAAGAGCTATATCATTATGAGTGATATTAAACCTACCCCCACTTCATCCCCACCCCCGCCTTTGCTTCAGTCCATTGAATAGCTAGGGGCTTGCCTTAGAGTTGAATTTGGAGTTCATGTGAGGATATGAGACATCAGGGAGGGAACTCATGGGTTGTGGAGGAAGAACCAGGCTGCAGGAGGCTGGACAAAGGGAGGGGCATGGTAGAAGAAAGTAGCCAGTGACTCTAGGGCCCTCTCTTTATCTGGCTGTGAGTGGGTATCGTTTGCTCTTTGGAGCACAGGCCTAATCACACTAGCTGGCTGTGTCTGAGGATCCGTAGGACCTCATGTGTGTAGAAAGGTTTAACAGTTCCTTATTCGGCTCCACTAATGGATGATGAGATTCTCGAAGGCAGGGACTGTACATTACTCTGTGTGCCGAAGGTCAGCATAAGGCCTAGCAAACGGGCAGGGCATTGATATTTGTAACTTAGATCTGCCTTTGGGATACCAAACTATTTCTTGCCTAAAGCTCATTAAGAGTTTGAAGGTTTAGGCTAACTAAAGTCAGAGGCTGGAACAGAAATGAAGATACTAAGCCTCCAGTTTCATCTAGAACTTTGAAGTGGCCACGAGTTGCCAGCCTCCCTAACATGGAATTCTGCAGTCTTCAGGACAGATGGAACAGGGTGCTGAATGACTTTTACCAACAAGCCCCAGTTTTCTACCAAATGGCCTCTTACAGTATTCTTCCAGACTTCCAAGTTTGAGTCTTGAAAGCCGCATGGATGGTCTCACTAAATGCTTTCTATTCCCCGTGTCTCTGTCAGGCTGACCAGGTTGTGGCCTGATTGTGTGCACGATGGCCAGAATCAAAGGTTTTTTTTAATGATTTTTAATTTATGGCATTTTTTGAATGTGTAAGTAAGAATAATCGAACTGTTCTGAACACCCTAATTCAAAAATCCAGGGTTATGTTGCAGGTAGACTCCCCACAGTCAATATCCTTCTTTTCCCTGTTACATTGTAACAAGAAAGTCCCATTTCCCACAGATGAGTATTTAATTATGACACTATTAAAATGACTCCCCTTGCAAACTCACGGTATTCCTCAGTTAAGTGGGGATGACAAGGAAAGATTTATTTTGAGATTTGCCCCAAAGCAAGTTAATTTTCAGTATAAGTTAAAATGTTAGGCTGCCCTTTCTTCCCATTTAAAAATTTCTATTCTAGAATGCATTTCTGTGTACTTGTCACAAAAATGATTTTTCAAACATGAAGTTTGAATTGCAAGTTTTCTTGAAATTCCTGAAGCACTCAGTTCATGGTTTGAAGACCAATGAAATGGAACTGTGAACTGAGACCCAAACAGGGCCACCATTTCTGTGAAATCATGGGGATTTAAAAAAAAAAAAAAAAAACCACTCAATAATCTAACACTTTTTTCAGCTTCCCCAGGTTTCAGTAATATGAAATTTGTACAGTTCAGTCCTGGGACTTTGGAAGTACTGAACAAAGGCTACTGATTATTGTTAGTGATATTACTTTATACCTATTTTATTATCTTTCAATATTCCATGTTTAAAAAAAAAAAGTTCATGTCATTATACAGTGTTTGCAAAGGCTTGAAGGGAAAAGTGAATCCTGTACCAGGTGAAGGAACCCAAACTATGGTAGCCAAGCCAGTTCTTGGTTTCCAGAGGGAAGGTAGAGCCTGGAAACCACAGGAAGCAGATGGAAGATGCTGTACTCTCTGGCTGGACACCTTGGTTGACGGTTGCTCGTTTAGAGGGGGTCTCTGCCACATGAATAAGTTTATTGGAATTTAATTTATGTACCCTACAATTCACCCATTTAAAGTGTACAATTCAGTGGTTTTTAGTATATTCTGAACTGTACAGCCATCACCATAACCAATTTTAGAATGTTTTTGTCACTCCAAAAAGAAGCCCAATATCCTTTAGCAATCATTCCCAATTTCTCCCTACCTGTCCAGCCTTACATGCCACCTTTTGCTGCTGCACTTGGCACTTCCCAGCAATCTCCTTGGCTGGGGAGAGAATAATGACCATACTCGTGCCAGGGCTGGGAACAGATGCTCTCAAAATTCCAGGACTCCCAGCCAAGACAGAGACTGAATGCACATTCTTCCAATATTGCACTGTTTGGAGTTTGAGAGATGTATTAAGCCTATTCAAGTAGATACAGGCCTCGTCCCGAGATTGGGAGCAACAGGAATTAACTAAAATAATATAGCACATAATAATGCTAAAAGAATGTGCAAAACCTAATGAGCAAAAACCAATAGTAAACTAAAGGTACTTGACTGCAAGAGAAGGCAACATCCTGTTTTAACCACCTGTTAAAAGGGGGTCAAGTGTATGAACTGGATGGTACCAACTTAGTCTGTGTTACTTTTATGTGGGTCTTAGGAAATTAGCCACTATGAAGTTGTTTGATTCAGTGTGAATTCAATGAGAGGTATTATGACTTTTTCATTTTATTAGGAGGCATGAACATATTTTCTGCATTTCACAAAAGACCCTTTAACTCTAGGTTTTTCTTGTGATAAATACAGATTGTATTCGTCTCAACTCCAACATAAAGCTCAAAAAGCAGTTTAATGTACACATTTCCTGCAGACTTCTCATTTTGCTTCTGGGGTGGGTAATCTCACTTCCACATGCAAGCACTATGGCATCATATTTTACCCAAGAACACAATAATCTTTGCAAAGTACCATGATAAGGATACAAAAGTTCAAGGAATCAAGTTAATTTTGCTTGAGTTGTGCAATGTATCGGTTTATTCTAATGCTATACACAATGGATGACCAAGGAAATTACAAGCTCATTCAGGATTTTCCAAGGTCAGTGTTAGAACTTCTTAAATGAAAGAATGGTATAGGTTATTAGGAAGAAAACTTGAAGCGCAGTTGCTTACAGATTGCTTAATGGGGTTTTTTTTTGGCTATATATAGAGAAGTACGCAGACTTCAGGATAGATGGATCGGGGGCCTAACAAATTTTACCAGTAAGCCCCAATTTTCTTTGGGGTGCTACACATAATGCCATAGCCTTTAATAAGAGGCTATGATATAGTTTAAAAAAATCCTAATATACCTGCACTCTGATCATTTTAGGCCCAATTTATTATTCTGGAGCAGTTTGCTCTATCAGTTTATCCCTGTTAGGTTCATAAATACATACTGCTGGAGAACAAATGCATATGTTTTACTTGATTGGTATTTTATGTCTGTTTTTATTAAAAATTTTTTAATGTTTATTTATTTTTGAAAGAGACAGAGACAGAAAGAGAGAATGAGCAGGGGAGGGAGACATAGAATCTGAAGCAGGCTCCAGGCTCTGAGCTGTCAGCACAGAGCCTGATGTGGGGCTTGAACTCATGAACTGCTGAATCATGACCTGAGCCAAAGTCAGACACCTAACCAACTGAACCACCCAGGCACCCTGTTTTTATTTTTTTTAATGTTTATTTATTTATTTTGAAAGAGGGAACAAGTGCAAGTGGGGGAGGGGCAGAGAGGGAGAGAGTGACTCACAAGCAGGCTCTGTGCTGACAACCCCACATGGGGCTTGATCTCCTGAACTGTGAGATCATAACCTGAGTCAAAATCAAGAGTTGGATACTCAACTGACTGAGCCACCCAGGTGCCCCATATCTGTTTTTAGATGGGCTGTGTTGTGCCGTGGCTAAGGCCATAGGCTCTAAAAGCAAACTTCTGAGTTTGTATCTAGGTTTTTTTCAGTTGTTTGGTGTGAGGCCTTGAGCTAGTTACTTTTCACTGTTGTGCCTCAATTTTTCTCCTGTAAAATGGGGCCAATAGCTATACCCACCTTGCAAGGTTTTGATAAATAAAAAATGAGTAAGGTATTTGGAAAAGTGCTTGGTCTATCCGTAGTAAGTGCTGTTATAGGAGATATATTTTGTTCTGAATAGAAAATGTATATTCCTTGAATATACACCTATAGATTTTGGTTAATCTGTAGGTATATTCTAAAATGTTAAAGCCTATCAAAATGATATACATTTTGATAACATTAAATGTTACCTTCAGTTTTTTATTGGTGATATCCAACAGTAAACTGGTATATGTTTTTCTTCTTTATAACATATATGTCTATGTAATGATCTTTAAGATACTTTTATATTTGGCTTAGATGTGTTATCCTTGCTCCTAAAAACGTAATTATTAAAAACATACTTTCTAAAGGTAGCCTTTCTGAAAAACAGACATTCTGAAAAGAAAGAAATTCAATTTTAGCTTTATAACATCTATCTATAATATAAACTCTCAACAGGTGGACTGGTAATGGTTTTAATTACATTTGACTAAAGGGATTTATTGTTCAAATATATATGCAGATTTTCTCTTGGATTTGTCAAGAGTTTTAATTCGTATATGACAAAAGAATAAAATGAGGTCAAATAGCATTTTTAATAAGCATTGCTATGGAAGTAGATGCAAACCTTTTGTTTACATTTCTGTAGCTACAATCAACCTAAATTCAGCCAATGATAGCTGGTTTGGCAGCTTGAAGGACTCAATTCAGCATCAGCAAGGAGAAGCAGTTTGGGTGTCTGAAGGAAAGGTATGTGGCATAGATATTCTGCTATGAGGTGAGAGTCCACGTTCTGAATCTTTTCTCAGGAGGGTAGTGAATGTAGTAAAACTATGCCCACTTGAAGTGATTCCAACATCTGTGCTAATCAGATTTGAAATTCTATAAATTTTCTGAAAACGTAATAAAATGAAGGGACTTTTCCAAGAAAAGTAGAATGTGATGTATGTGACCCTACATTCACTTCCCTTTTACTTTTAACGTAGTAACTAGTGTTGTATTCCAAGCACACTAATCAGAGCTTACAAGATCTTGTGCTGAGCTCCATCCACAGCTTACTAAGTACACAGGAAACTCAGCATGAGGGGGAAAGGTGAGGGTGAGAATCATGGAGAATATGGTTAAAAATTAATTTAAAAAGGGAAAGCTAGTTGAGTTGGAGTCATTTGCTTAGAAAGAAGATTGGCAGAGAATGTGTCCTAGGAATTTGAGTAGGTTGATAAGAGGGTGCTAGGAAGCTTGTGTAGGCTTCTAAAATTGGCTAGCTTCTCATCTATGCAGGTAGTTTGCCCACAGTTCTACTGCAGGGAGGAAGCAAAGAGATTATGTAATTTCCTGTGGTTCTAAGGAGCCTTTGGTGCTAGTATTCTGTAGTCCAGCTGAATCGAACCAGTTTGTGAGACGTCAGAGGTATGATTTTGTTGCGGAACCAATTAGATTGTTGAGTGCTAGTCTTGCCCTTAGGAAACTGCATGTTTAGTCAAGGTGTCTAGCATCTTCTGAGTGTTTATAGCCTGCTGAGGCTCCCTAGAACCTCTTTTGTGAGAACAGGTTGAACAGGACATAGCTTCCTTCCTCAAGGATTTGAGAATCGAGTGAATGAGTGGAGACATATGCAACACCAAGCAGTGTGCATTTATTACTAGGAGATAAGTATTAGCAGAAAAAGCTGGAAAGTAGCCAAATTCTGGAAGAAAAGTACAACAATCTGAGGAAGCACGGCTCAGTAATGGTAGAAAGGATGGATAGTAGTAAGGCTAGATAGGGTGGAGGGTTCCTAGTTTGAGTCCCTGCACAAAAAATTAACATAATAATCTAAAGCCAAGTGATTTCAAGAAAATAAAGATGACTTCCCTTTCTAGAACATGTCAGGTTTCAGTCACTTGGCTGTGCCCTTGGGAATTTTCTTGAGTCCCCACTCCCAGGAGCCATGTCGACCCCACTGACCCTCCGAAACAAATTCCTCTAGATGGAAGGGATGGATGATGACCCTGAAGACCGCATGTCCTACTTAACTGCCATGGGCGCGGACTATCTGAGTTGCGACAGCCGCCTCATCAGTGACTTTGAAGACACCGACGGCGAAGGAGGCGCCTACACTGACAATGAGCTGGATGAGCCAGCTGAGGAGCCACTGGTGTCTTCCATCACCCGCTCCTCGGAGCCGGTGCAGCATGAGGAGGTGAGGTGAGGCAGGCCACAGGCTGTGAGGCCATGGGCAGGAAAAAGAGGTTCTGCTGTTTCACTTGGATTCTTCTGGACAACTGTTTATTCAGGGTGCTGTAGAAGGTATTCCTAAGAGTTGGAACAGATGACTTCTAGGGAGTTTCTTATTCTAAGTCAGTGCCTGCACGATAGCATTTGTGGTCCATGGGAAAGCCGGACAGGAACTTAGCGCTGGGAGAGGTTGAGGGATCAGCACTCATCACACTGATGTTCTCAATCATGATAGATACACTGAACAATTTTATGTGCCAGCTGTCCAAATTACAAGTGGAACATTTTTTTATAAATACAATTTTGCTGTATTTACTTGTAACCTTTGATTAGGTCTCTCTGTACTTTTAGGTATCCTTGCTTTTTCTTACCCATCCTACCTTTAACCTTTCTAATCCTGCCAAAACTCCTGAGTGTTTCCCCATCAGTTTCCTTCTCTCTTGTATTTCAATTTCTAAATTGAGTTCATGGTCAAATATGTATCTGATCATGTGTACTGTGCATCCACTGGCCAGTGAATAGACAGCTTCTGTGATCCTAGAAATCATGTCAACAGGCACTAAGGATCAATTAGTAGTTGCACCTCAGATACATTACGTCAATGTAGATGAGGTTATCCATATACTTGAATAGTTATTCTTGTCATCGCTTTAGCAAGTTAGCTCATTTTGGTAAATGATTTTATTTTTGATGAAATAAAATTACAAACAAACAAACAAAAATGTTGAAGGGGGATAAAACCTACCATGGCCAAAAAATTAGTATATACCAGTGGACAAGTTATAAAGAATAATTTAACTCCTGAATGTCTGCAGTTATAGATGTGCTAATGGTTAAAATATTAATAGCTATAAGTGACCAAAGAGATTTTAGACTTTAGGAAGACTTTGGGGGTGGGGGATTATTTTAAAGGAAGAGACTACACCAATGGATGTAACTAGTTTATTTTATTTTATTTTTTTTTTTTTAATTTTTTTTTCAACGTTTATTTATTTTGGGGACAGAGAGAGACAGAGCATGAACGGGGGAGGGGCAGAGAGAGAGGGAGACACAGAATCGGAAACAGGCTCCAGGCTCTGAGCCATCAGCCCAGAGCCCGACGCGGGGCTCGAACTCACGGAGCGCAAGATCGTGACCTGGCTGAAGTCAGACGCTTAACCGACTGCGCCACCCAGGCGCCCCGGATGTAACTAGTTTAAAAAAAGTATCTTAAGCATTTACTAATGGGAATATGCTGGTATCTGCCTTTTCAGTAAAGAAGCATTGGGTCAGTGTCTCAATTTATGCAAGTTATGAACCTCAACTTCTGAACTTTTGCAAATTGGCAGAACTCCAGCAAAGCAGATGAATGTTTTCTCTTCTTTGCTGGGATGTTCTTGTTGTGAATGAACCTTTATGTCTTGTAGAGCATAAGGAAACCCAGCCCAGAGCCACGAGCTCAGATGAGGAGGGCTGCTAGCAGAGATCAACTTAGGGACAGTAGCCCACCCCCAGCATTCAAGCCAGAACCACCCAAGGTATGTGGCTGGGAAGCCCACGTTGGGGAGGAAGAAGAAGCAGATACCCGACAGCTTCCTGCATAGCCAGGGAAGAGCACACACCATAAAATGGCATTGAATTATGTTTCTGACTCACACTTTCTGTTAAAATGTGTCTTTTGGTTTGTGGGTGAACCCCAAAATGAGGGAAGAGCAAAAAGAAGGAAAGGTAGTTTTAGGAGAACATACTGTTTTAAGATTGTTGTTATTTTATTTACTTATTCACTTATTCATTCATGCATTCATTCATTTTATTTTTTATTAAAAAAAGTTCCTTGTAGCAAGAATAAAAGTTTGACAAATAGTGAATGCCCAGAAGCACCAGTTTCAGAATCTGTTTTTCTTTTTGAGTTAGTTTTCTGCCCACAATTTAGATAAACCAGAAAGTCCCTATTGATAGTTTGCTGAAGAACACAATCACCACCACTGTTTATTATGCCTCTCATTATGAAGGCAGCTTAACTAATTAATTAATTAATTAATTAATTTATTAATTAATTTATAGGTAGGTTTCACACCCAGCACAAAGCCCAATGCAGGGCTTGAACTCACAACCCTGAGATTAAGACCTGAACTGGATCAAGAGTTAGATGCTTAACTGACTGAGCCACCTAGTGCCCCTCAGCTTAATTTATTTTTAAATTAAATAATTTCTCAGAACAGAATCAGTGTAAGAACATACAGTACATGTCATATAATATTTTTACCCCCTTCTGAATCAAATCTATAAAAACAGGCTTTTCCTTTAGTATAACCCAATAAAACTTCTCCATTTAACTCAATACTTTAGATAGGAAAAAAGTAATCACTGATTGTGTGAGTTGTCAGAAATAGTGACCTCATAAAATATATCACTGAAAATGTACAAGCAGGCCTAGGATCGAAGTGTGAAGATGGAGTGGCCATTAGCATTGTTTGCTACCTTTCCCACTCCAACCTCCAGTCTCCTACATGGCTGGACATGGGCCTCCCCTCTGGACTAGGGCATGCACCCTCAGGATCCCACTCTTCAATCCTGAACCCCCTTGACTTGTTGTGAGGTCTTCTCCAAGATACTGATCACTGATCTTAATCTCCTCTAGTACAAAAGTAGGTTTGCTCTGCCTCTATACTTGCAGGCCTCCCAGCCCTTCCCCAACACCCTCTTGGTTTCCTAGAGTTCTAAATACTCTTTTGTAGGAAGCAAGGTAGGGCTCAGGATGCCCACCCAGTGGCTGTTTGTCCTGTAGTATTTGATTCCTTGTCAGAATGGTATTTGTTGACCACCTCTGGAAACTGATTAGGAAATGGGAGTGTATTAAATCACTAATACAGATTTGAAAGTAAACTGAAAACCCAAGGTAAAAATGTGTTCATTGTTCTCTTCAGGCCAAAACCCAGAACAGAGAAGAATCCTTTGACTTCTCCAGATCCCATGAATATAAGTCAAACCCCTCAGCTGTTGCTGGTAATGAAATTCCTGGGGCATCTACCAAAGGTTATCCTCCTCCTGTTGCAGCAAAACCTGCCTTAGGAAGGTCTATACTGAAGCCCTCCACTCCTGTCCCTCCTCCAGAGAGTGAGGAGGTAGGAGAGGGCAGTGAGGAGCAAGATGGCACTCCCAAGTCTGTCCTGGGCAAAGTAAAAATATTTGAGAAGATGGATCACAAGGCAAGATTACAGAGAATGCAAGAGCTCCAAGAAGCACAGAATGCAAGGGTAATTATTTAAAAAAATATTTTTTTTAAATGTTTTATTTACTTTTGAGAGAGAGAAAGAGTATTGGGGGGGTGGGGGGAGGCAGAGAGAGAGACACACACACACATACAGAATCTGAAGTAGGCTCCAGGCTCTGAGCTTATCAGCACAGAGCCTGAAGTGGGGCTTGAACTCATGAACTGTGAGATCATGACCTGAGCTGAAGTTGGACACCTAACCACCTGAGCCACCCAGGTGCCCCACAAGGGTAATTATTTTTAAACCCCTAGATCATCTTAGCATGTCAACAGCAAGAATGTTCAGTTTCATTTCCTGTAATGATTTGAGTCCTTTTTCCACTGCCACCAACATGAAAGGAATGTTCACATGCATGATACCACACGCACCTCCTGTGTGTATGTCATTTCCAGACTGCCAGCTATCACTGTAGCCCTTTTTCTTCTAATCAAGACAGCTTAACAATACAGGTGAATAAGATTATGCTTTTCACACTTCAGAACTTTATATCAGGTTCTGGAATTGGGAAGTAGGACAAGACAGTCAGTGCCTCTCTTAAGTTATTTTTCATTAAAACATTTGTTATATTTGTTCAGTAACTGAATTTTATTTTTAAAAAATATTTATTGATTTGTGAGAGATAGAGTGTGAGTGGGGGAAATGCAGAGAGAGAGGGAGACAAAGGATCTGAAGCAGGCTCCAGGCTCTGCGCTGACAGCAAAAAGCCTGACGTGGCTGAACTGTGAGATTATGAACTGAACTGTGAGATTATGACCTGAGCTGAAGTTGGACGCTTAACCGACTGAGCCACCCAGGTGCCCCTTAGTAACTGAATTTTAATTTGCTCCCAGATTTACCATAGAAATCAAGGAAACCTTAGAAGCTAAAATTGAAAGCCCCATGGATTGTACTTTTTGATACTGTTTGAATTTTTGTGCCACATGCACATCTAACCTTTCAAAAGTTGGAGAAGAATTTAGGGAAGCATATTCTGCCTAGTGGATATGGGAGAGTTTTTTTTAAGTCTGTCACAACAGCAGTAGTGCTTCTGAACATTTTTCTTATCCCCCCCCCTTTTTTATGTTTATTTATTTTGAGAGAGAGAGAGAGTGAGCGCTCAAGTGGGGGAGGGGCAGAGAGAGACAATCCCAAGGTGGCCCCGCACTGTCACTGTAGAGCCCAATGCAGGGCTCGATCTTATGAACCATGAGATTGTGACCCAAGCTAAAATCAAGTGTAGGATACTTAACCGACTGAGCCACCCAGGCACCCCATTTTTTTTTCCATTTCAACTATTTTTTTAATGTTTTTTATTTATTTTTGAGAGAGAGAGCGTGCGCGCATGAGCGGGGGAGGGACAGAGAGAGATGGAGACACAGAATCAGAAGCAGTCTCTGAGCTGTTAGCACAGAGCCCAACCTGTGCTTGAACTCAGAAAACCAAAAGATCATGAACTGAGCTAAAGTTGGACATTTAACCAACTAAGCCACCCAGGTGCCCCATTTTTCAATTATTTTTATGCAATCACCACCACCATCCATCTCCAGGACTTTTGAATCTTCCCTAGCTGAAGCTTCGTACCCATTATACATCAACACCCTGTTACCCCTCCTCCTATCCCTGGTAATCACCATACTACTTTCTTTCTGTCTTCATGAATTTAAATACTTAGGAACCCCATATAAATGGAATCATACAGTATTTGTCCTTTTGTGACTAGCTTATTTCACATAGGAAAATGTCCTCAAGGTTCATCCATGTTGTAGCATGTGGCAGAACTTAAACATTAGGCCATCATATACAACCATAAAAACTAGAGAGTTGCTTCTTTTTTTCCTTTTCTACTAAAAATGGGATTGGAAAATGGGACCAGCAAGAATCCAGCAAGCCACCCAGCAGTCATTCATTCTTTCTTTTTTTGTTCTTTTTTCTCCCCCTTAATTCCCACAGATTGAAATTGCTCAGAAGCATCCTGATATCTATGCAGTTCCAATTAAAACACATAAGCCAGACCCTGGCCTGTCCCAGAATACAAGGTAAGGGCTGCTCAGCAGTATAGGTCTAAAAAGGGGGCTTGTCTAGGACTTGGACTCCTAAGAAAGAATTTCTTCCCCACATTTGAATGTAGCAAGGAGACTTTTTTTTTCCTGGTGAACTATTTACCTTACTTACTCAGTCAAGTTTAATTGTAAACATTATACAAACAAAATTCCATGGAAATTTTCCTTGTGTACTAACACCGACAAAATGTAATCACTGACACTTCAGAGTAGTCCCCTCTGACCACTGCAGGTTAATTGTATTAGGATAGCACATGAGCAAAATTCCTGGGGCTTAAACACTAATTGTTTTGTCACTAATATATTTTGGCTCTTAATCAAGCTCCTTAACTCCTTTGTATCACATAGCAAAGTCAGGCCACTTATACTGAACTGTGGTCTGAAGGGAAGGTGACAATCAGTTGACCAGTGTTGGCAAGATGCTTTCTATTTAAAATGCTACATAAGCATTAGGAATTATGACAGTGTCTTCCTGTAGAGGCTTTATACTGGATCATTTCCTGCTTCCGAGAATAGAAAAAAAAGTCGCATTTTTCTTGTGGCCATTCTGACTGGAAACTAGAGTCTGGTTTTACAGCAATAGAAAACTAGAGGCAAATTTCTTCTTTAACACTTGAACAGTGGTACAGCCAACCAGGTGGCCCCTGGCAACAAAAGGGGTTTGGTAGGGTACTTTGGCTTCCTCACTCACTGCCCAATAAGCCTTAACTGATTACTCCCCCACCATTAACCTGAAGTGGGGCCCAAAGTAACCCTGGTTAAACAGCACAGTGCGGCATTCGACTCCAAGTTTGTGATCTGTCTTGGATTCATGGCCGCACGTCAACGGGCAGAGGCCCTGGCTGAGCTTTGTGACGCATTTAACACTCTCACTGTGTTAGTTCTAGGCCACCTGAACCCCAGAAAGGTCCTTCCAGACTCTACCAGGACCCCAGGGGAAGTTATGGCAGTGACGTTGAGGAAGAAGAATATCGCCAGCAGCTGTCAGAACACTCAAAGCGCGGTTATTACGGCCAGCCTTCCCGGTATCGGGACACAGAATTATAGATGCCTGCGAATTGACTCTTTTGTCTCCCTGCTGCTCCACCTCAGAGCAGCGCTCCCCCTGAGTCATGGGATGGTTCTTTCCAGGCAAAGTGCACTGTGGAGATAGAGGTGGGACCTCAGGTCCCATTTCCTCCTCATGGGGAGTACAGGGGACAGACAGTGCAAATTAAGAACTGAGGGCTCTGTTTGTGGAATTGGGTCTGGGGAGTTTATGGCTTTTTGCTCAGATTTAAGAGAAACATAACAGTCTGATACTGTTAACTGCTTCAGTGGACCAAAATCTGTATCAATTCTGTTTGCGTATTTTTAATGTGTATATTAAGAAGTGATAACTATTTTCCCTCATTAATAGCTGCCTTCAAGGACTGTTTCAATGAGAGATGGAATGTGAAAAAGGAATTAAAATATTTCCGGACTCAAACTAAACTCAAAGAAATATTTTATTACATCTCTAAGTGCCTTTGATGAGAAGTGTCTTAAATTTTCTTCCTTTGGAGCGTTATGCAAAGCCATAATGGACTAAAACACTGACTACAGTTTCATACCAGCTTAATAGCTATGGTTTTCTCTGCACTGTGTCATCTTTTCAAGGCATTTGTCTTTGTAATATTTTCCATAAATTCTGACTGTATATATGGTAGCTATACCTGGTGGTTTGGCTACCAGTGCTAAATAGTTTGAAGACCAAGATACTGGTATAGAAATTTTTTGTTTGTTTAAAACCATGTGCTCCACGAAAGCAGATAATTGGAAAAACCACATTTCCAAAAATGTGTGTATTGACAACAGTTTTATAATTTAATAAAAAGGAGGCTATTGCAACCAATAATTTGCTTTGTGGTAGATTTCTACACTAGTTCTTGTTTCTCAAGGCAACTTTTATTTCAATTAGTGATCATGAAATGAGATCACACTCGCTGCTAAACATGAAAATAAAGATCCATATGAAAAAGAAAATGAAAACTACCCAAAATCTCATCCTGCAGATAATTTTGGTGCATTTCCTTCAAGTACATGTCTTGCAGATGTCTGTGTGTGTGATGGCTATAGTATGTATAAATATACTGTATTTGCAGTTCGTTCTGTTTTTTACTTTTTCTGTCTAACATTCTATCACGAACCTTTCTCTCAGGGAGTTAAAACTCAGGTATACATCATTGCTAGTAACTGCAGAACAGCATAACCTGTGACTTCATAACTAGACAATTCTGCTATCTGGTAGTTTGTTTCCAGTTTTTGGCCTCTTTTATATGAAATGTACCTCTGTATGTAATCCATTTCTTTATATCAATGATCAGCATTTTCATCCTTTTCTGCCGGTAGTTTCTCAGAAGTGGAATTACTGAGCAAAAGCATAAGGACCATTTTTAAGGCCCTTAATACTTGTTGCCAAATTGCTTCCTAGGAGAGTTACATCAATTTATATTCGCACATTCACTCTTTAAAGGCTGAATTATGTTTAGAATTTAAACAAGACAGCCTAGGAATTGGGGCTTGTATGAATCCAAAAGTACACTGAAGTCAGGAAAAGAGAAGAGTCCTGATTCCATTACAGTCTTTTACAATATGAATTGCCATAAAGATGTTTAGCTTTGAGTTAGAAATTTAGCTTACTCAAAAAAGGAGTTGTATTAGAAATACGTCATGGTTATGTCTCTATCAGTCTGGGTGCTGTAATTCATAAACTATTTAGTGCAGTTCCTTGAATTTTTGAGCAATCCTGAAGACAGTGACTCAAATCTCTGTATTTTGTCAATAAAGTCACCTTTTGCGGACAGAAAAAGATACACTGGTTATATGATGATTTAGTTTGCTTGTGTCCTTTTATCTACCCGAACAAGCTTTTTTGCAAAGCCAGGGAAGGGAGAGGAGGCATTTCAGCAGGAGCTGGGCTGCCATCTGGCTTTAGCACTTTTTTTTTGTGGTACAATTACTGATGCAGACAAGCAGGACCTCTGTTCCCCATAATGTCCCATAGTATGCCCCATGGACCACAGAGCCTGCCCCACCCCTTTTTCATTAACATTCTTTGTTCTGGGAAGGATTTACGGCTGCCTACAACACATGTGGGTTATGATTTAGAAAAGAAATGGGTGCTAGGCAAATGAGGAAAGAAGAGAGGAGAATATCAGAACAGGAAAGACAAAGCCATTAGTGAGAGTAGTGTTCACTATGCACACTGGGCTCCTCTGCTTTCCAGAGGCCAGTGTAGGGCACGAGACGACTGGTACCTGTCCATAAGGAGGTGGGGAAACTTCTAGAAGTCAACCCCCTACTCCCATTCTTTTTATTCTCTGTTGTTTTACCTTGTGTCCCACAGCCATGGCCACTTGCTTGCAAGGATGACTTTGGAGTTCTGTGGCGGGGCCCCCCCCCCCCCACTTTTTAAAAGATTCTATTTTTTTTTTAACGTTTATTTATTTTTGAGACAGAGGGAGACAGAGCATGAACGGGGGAGGGTCAGAGAGAGGGAGACACAGAATCAGAAACAGGCTCCAGGCTCTGAGCCATCAGCCCAGAACCCGACGTGGGGCTCGAACTCACGGACAGCGAGATGGTGACCTGAGCCGAAGTCGGACGCTTAACCGACTGAGCCACCCAGACGCCCCTAAAAGATTCTATTTTTAAGAAACCTCTACACCCAACGTGGGGCCGGAACTCACAACCCCGGGATCAAGACTCGCACGCCCCATCCACAGCCCCGGAGGTCTGTTTCTTACCGTGTTCTTTCATGTAAGCCAGCAGCACAATTCCAAGGGTCCGTTCAGTAAACATTCTGGAGAAGGGCGCCCGAAAACTGCAGTATCGCAACCCTACCCCGGAGCGTGAACTAATCCAGACATCCATTCTAGAAGATCTAGGGCCAACGCCTCCCAACTAGCCATACGACAGGCATAAAGCCCCCTCCCCCATACATCGCCTTCTGGAAAATCCATTTTACTCAAAGACTGGGGGGAGCAGGGTGTTCAAACACAGGGGTAGATTCACACAGCAGAACGCAAACGTCACGCGAAGGCGTAGAAGAAAACCTGGCACTTACCCCAACCACAGCATCCTCAGCAGGTGCCCGGCCTCCGGCCTCGACACCTCACCCAAGACCTCCGGCGTCCTCGGCGTGGTCCTGCCCCACAAGCAGCGGGCTCGGTCTCTGCCAGCCAGAAAAAGGCTTCGTAACTACGCATCCGCCCCGCGCTTCCTGGTGCTGTCAACCACGATTTGTCTTCACGGGCGGCAGAAATGGCGGGAAAGGAGGCTGAAGAGAGGTCTTAATTCGGGTAGCCGCTTCGGCACCAGGGGAGGACACAAAGTGCCCGCGGAGTCCGAGGTAATTCCGTGATGGGAGACCCGCGCTTAATCCCGCCAAGAAACGCCGCCGATGAATGGCGTAAAACACGTGCCTCAGAGTTTTCCCACTCCAGGCGGGAGGGAGTCGGGCTACTTGCTCACCAGCGGGTTTCGGATTCTTCAGGGCTGCTCCCCGTGCGCCCATGCGCCCGCCCATATGCGCATGCGTGAGTGCGTGTGCGTGTGCGTGTGCGTGCGTCTGCTCTGCGCAGCCTCACTCCTCGCCCTCAAGCAAAGGCTTGAGGAGACGCTGCCGAAAAAGGGTGAAGCACCCAGTGGAGCGAGGCACGAGGGCGGAGGAAACCTGGCCGCGTGTTTCAGGATGGTGAGTGGGCCGTGAATCTACTGAGCCTTCCAAGATGGGAGATGTTTTCTGTATGATGTTTTAGGATGGGCTGAGGGAGACAGTAGAAGAACGAGAGCATCGTATGTAGGGGGAGTGGGAAGGGGAGAGCCTACGTACCTGTATTAGGGTTCGCTAGAGACCCTAGAGAAAGAGGACCAACAGGATGTGTGTGTATATCGAGATTTATTTTAAGGAATTGGCGCATAAAATTAGTGCCTCCACAATCTGAGCAGCGTGTGTAGAGGCAGGTGGTGATCTACTGTGGAGGCAGCTCTTAGAGGTGATAAGCTCACGTTCTGGAATCAAAGCAATCTTCCATCAGTCACCAGTTTTGTTCAGTTATTAGCATATAACCTTGAGCAGTTTACCCAACTGGTTAAGCCTCATTCTTTTCATGTATGAAATAAGGATAGAAAACGGTAACACCATGTCACAGTTTTTTTATTGTGGCTCTTAAATGGGATGGTGTGCATAAAATGTTTGCAGTAGTTGGCACAAAGTAAGTGCTCAATAAAAGTAGCTAGTGGTATTGTCGTCATTTGGTTTCACCACACCAATTTTGAAACATGAGTGGTGTTTTTTATTTTCTTGCTCTTCCTCCAAATGTTGACCTACTTTGTTCTACTTAGCTATTTTTTAATTTGTCCCTCTGTTGTCCCTTTTCCCACAGCCACTACCCTAGTTCAGATGGTTGTAAACTCTCTAATCCTCCATCTAGCTAAACAGGCAGAATCATCTTTCTTTTTTTTTTTTTTTTAATTTTTTTTTCAACGTTTTTATTTTTATTTTTGGGACAGAGAGAGACAGAGCATGAACGGGGGAGGGGCAGAGAGAGAGAGGGAGACACAGAATCGGAAACAGGCTCCAGGCTCCGAGCCATCAGCCCAGAGCCCGACGCGGGGCACGAACCCACGGACCGCGAGATCGTGACCTGGCTGAAGCCGGACGCTTAACCGACTGCGCCACCCAGGCGCCCCCAGAATCATCTTTCTAACATAGATCTGAGAATGTCTCCTGCTACTTAAAACACGTGATGACTTCCCCTTGCCTACAGCAAAGTTTAATTCTTTTAATAATAAATTCTTTTAATCTATTGAGCTATAATTGACATATAACGTGTAAGTTTAAGGTATGCAACGGTGTTGATTTGATACATTTATGTGTTGCATTGTGATTACCACCTGGGTGTTAGCTAACACCTCTATCATGTTACATAATTTCTTTTCTTGTGGTGAGAACAAGTAAGAGCTAGTCCCTTGGCAACAAAGTTCAATTCTTTATCATAGCATTCAAGCTTTTCTACTATCTGTACCTGTGGTAGACTGCATCATTCATTCTGATTCTTCATGCCCTTCCTCACTTTACAGTTCCTTCCACTGAAGGCTTGGAATATATTTTCCCACCTCTTGGTTTTGGATTGACCATGTGTCTTTCTCCCTTGCACCTCTGAGAGGAAGCTCTTCAGGCTAGCTACTGTTCTCTCTCAGGAGGGTGAGAGAGAGCTGTGGAGCGGAGACATTCTACCTGAGCCCAGCCTTTATCGGCAGATATATGAGAAATAATAAACAGGTGTTGTTGCTTTTTAATATTAAAAAAAATATTAATTTTTGAGAGGGAGAGAGAGAGGGAGACACAGAGTTGGAAGCAGGCTCCAGGCTCCGAGCTCTCAGCACAGAGCCCAACGTAGGGCTCAAACTCAATGAACCTGGAGATCATGACCTGAGCCAAAGTCTGACGCTTAACCGACTGAGCCACCCAGGCACCCGGAAACGGGTGTTGTTTTAAACCATTGAATTTTGGAGTACTTTGTTATGCAAATATTTTTTCAGGTAACTTTGTCCTCCAAAGCCCATATATGTTCCAGTTTCAAAGAAGGGCTTGTTCCTGACTGTGATACTGTGATTTGTAAGAAATATATATTTGGTCATTTAGATAACCAGAATATATTTCTAATGTTTATCTTTGCCCACAGTTCCTGGCTCACAGCTCCCCAAACCCTTGGAATTTCCGAAGTGTTAAGAGTGATAAAGGCATTTTTTGTTGTATTAACGAAGGTGACTTTTGGTCTCCACCCATGGATGGGGGGGCAGGTTGCCAGGAAAACCAACCATGTGATTACAGGGTTGGAACCATCAGTGTCCACCCCCTCACCCCTGAAGGTGAACCAGCCAATGGGCAATGACTTAGTCAATCATGACTATGCACTGAAACCTCCATAAAAACCCAAGAGGACTGGGTTCAAAGAGCTTCCCAGTTGGTGAACACACGGAGATGC